GTACCTATATATGTGTATGTGACATGCGTATGTGTGTGTGTGTCACGCATTCCCGCGCATGAAATATTTATTTTTTGACTTTTATATAAAAAAAAAAATACGGTGCTAATTAATATCGGTCACATCCGTGCGAAGTTTTTGTCATTCATTAACAATTCAATATACCTCAGTCTTATAATATATAATATGTATATATCATAGTATTAAGCTATTGAGTATTGAGGAATAAAAGAATATTATATAGTTGGTGTAAATACCTACACCCATAATTGTATTTTTTATTTCTCCAGACTAACATCGGTCGGCATTCGGTTGCTTTATTATATTTAGTGTCCCCGTCGTCGTTTAACGCGTTTATAATTTTATGGTTTCGAAAGAGTTCGAGCAAAAAAACAATACGAGTACAATAAGAGAGTGCAGCATATTCGATACAGCACGTGGGAAGATTTTCCGCTTAATAAACCTATACCTATACAGTAAACGTGTATACCATACATATACATATTTTCACGGGCGGTGCTATTATATAATTATGGTTTGCTTGGGCACACCCTGACGCATTAAAAGTCTATACGAATGTTTTATACTACATTTTATTGATATAAATTGTGATACTGCAATGTTATTTCAACAGCCGTTTATCGATAAATTGGTAGATTTAAGTTTGGACAAGCGTTTAAAATCTAGTTTATATATTATTATCATTATAATTGTATACTTGATATAAGCTAAACAACTTCCACACATGCTTAATCCATATATTATATGTATGCTCATAGCTCATTGCTCGTATTAAAAATGTCTCATCAACTTTGGTATGGATTTTTTTCAGTGACATAGGCTTAACTACTAAGTGACATTTTGGTGATTTTAAGTTTACAATGTGAAATTTGGAAGTAAAATAAAATACAATAGCATAATATATTACTTATTGTTATTAAATAATTGTAAGCTGTGCACTGTGCAGCATTTATAGTAAATTATTCAAACCAAATATGTGCACAATTTTCAGTAATGCGTTTTCAGTATCACCACACTGGAATTATATACCTGAAAGTTGAAACATATACGATATACATATAACATATTTAAGACAAAATATGTAAGTAACTTAAAAACTTAAAATATTTCCGTTCCTTAAAAATTAAACATATTTAATAATATGCAAGTATTTTTTATCAACAATAAAAAAACAAAAAACTTAAAAAAGCCGGAATGTTTACTATTTCAATATCCGGCGGCGGTACCATGGTCGGCCGTCGGTGTATTTATAATTTATAATGCGTATCGTACTCATACAGTCAATTGAAATATTATTATTATTAAAACATATTTTAATATAGGCAGTTTGCGTGCTCGTATATTATAGCTCTCGTTGAAAAATTACGTTACCACGTTATAACTTATAAAGTATAAATTATAAATTATAATATTATTATTAATAAACCTCCCGAGTTCAGTAGTTTTCTGGGGCAAATTGAAAAGGAAGATTTATATCGGACCGAGGATCATTGATTGTAAACGTTGTACATACGTTCACTGATGGAATTATAATATATACAGGTACTTAAACTTACATGTATATATATAACAAACAAGTGCGTGTGTGTAAAATTATTGCAAGAGACGCGTATACGAGACTCTCTTCTAACTAGGTAACTCGAAGACGTCGTACACGACCATAAATAATAATGTACACACACACACACACACACACATAAACATATACCGACAGTCGAACAGAGTCGTCCAATATGGTTATAACGACTCGTTCTCGTATGTACACACGCAGGTATATACCGTCGTCTGACGAACTTATAGCTGCAAGTTCATGTCTGTGAATACGTAATTAGGGTACACTTCATATTATTATTATAAATGCAGCCGATACTGCGTCAGCTGCCGACCGTTTATATGTCCGTCCTTCAGGTTTTTTTTTTAATTTCAATTTTTTTTTACCATCAAAAAACGCACACTCATTATATTTTTTAAACACTCTACGGTCCATATATGTATCTGCAGCCTCTTGAGTTTATCGGTTTTAAGCATTTGTCGATATAAATTGAAATTCGAAGATACACTGACGGTATACCCAATCTACTAGTCTACAATTGGTTTACGATTATTAAGCTCAAACAGTATTAGTAGGTATACCCATGATACATTATTGTAAACAATTCTAATTTAAATTAAAAAACATTATTTTAAGTATATTATTTGAGAAACATATGATTGACCCTTGTTTATTATAATGCAAACTTATTAAAAATACATAGTCAATCGTAAGTGTATTAATTGGGGGTGATTGTTCAGCCATTGATAAGGGTTCACCTATTAGGTTTAGGCAGACTGTAGACTTTATAATATAAACCTACATATAATATATTACATATACATGCATTTAATATTTTATGCGCTCAAAAAGTATATTAAATAATAACTTAAGGGCTGGAAATGTAATGGCTTAAAAACACATTTAAATAGGTAGGTACCGTAAACATTCAAAATAATGCATCAATAAAATTCTCTTAATTTTTATCAAATTAAAAAAAAGTTTTGCAGGACTCCACAATTTCAAGTCTTCCACATGGACTTTTAATCTGAAAAATAATTATTCTCAATGAATTTTCCGTCACCACTCTTGATGATTTCGATTTTTACTTCGTATGGATCTGTTCGAAATAGTACCATTAAGACATAATAATATTCAGTTAGGTAAAAATCTTGTAAGCACGTTACTAAGTTATTTTAAAAGTAAAAATAGGATTTTACTGCTTAAAAACCCTAAAATTCTCTAAAAAAAATCTTTAAAAATCATATCGTAAAAACTTTTTATTCTGATGATACTTGTTCTAAAACTCTAGTTTCAATACATTTTATTACACCTAATTAATTTCATACAAAAATATGTACGAATAATATAATGGTAGTAAAAAGAAAAAAATGAAAAAAGTAATCTTTGATAATATTGACCATTCAATACATAAGTGTTTATAATTTTACTTATCTGAAGATATCAGAATAGTGATAGGTTTAGATTTTTTAAAGGTTTTGCATGTACGCTTAGCCGCGTAAGTATTTACTGGTAAATACTCATTTACTAGATATGTACATTGTACGTATTATATCACGCTAATACGTTATTATAAATGTATACATATTATATTAATACGTATAATAAACCCTAATCGTATATAGTTTGATGTAAACACAATTTTCAGTTATGTATTTAAGTGTATAATACATCGTTAAATACATCAATTATACACACATATACACGAGTACACGACTATACGAGATTCAAATATATATGCGCTCTGCGCATGTGTTAGCGCTACACCTGGTAATTACCAATAAATGAATATGTAAGATCTGCTTCGCTTAATCGTTATGGCCAGAAGTTACCATGTGCTAATGTAACGGATCTATGGGCTGAATGTTTACCAAATAATAGTCAATATTTTAGACCTGAAGCGGTTCATGCTTTCGTAGACACAATATTCACTTATTAGTTATTCTTAATAATTTCTTTCTCTATAATAAATTTTATAGGTATCATTCAAAGCTTAGAGCACATTTGAATTGCCTCTTATCTTTCAGTGCTGAATAATAAAATATTGTTTATTAAATGCATATTATTTTAGTTCAAATTAGTATTCATTATAATACTGATAAATGTATTAATTATTATACCATGTTTATATTTTATTAATATAAGTATTAATGCCTACTGTATTAAAGTATTTTATTTTTAGTGTCCTGTTTTTAAAAAAATGTATTTATTAGCAACCTATCTAAATTGTTCAATGACTATATTATACCTATGGTATATTATATACTACCAATGTATTATTAAACATATTATAAGATATATATTCCGGAATTCTACATGTTAAATAGTATGTTATTATAATTTATAATGAGTAAATGTAAATATTTTGAAAAAATATTTAGAATACAAATTCGGTTTTTTTTAATCATATTTATAGGTAATCGTACATCGTATATAGATAGATCGGTTTTGATTCGGTCTAGTTTTGGTTCCCTTCAAAATTAGGCCATCATCTCTGAAAGGGTTCAGTTGAAATAAACCAGATCTTATGACTTAGGTAGGTAGTTAGATACTATATATTTGTATGCACCAGGCGTAAATGCGTATGCATTTTATAATTATACAATAATGTAATATAATTTAGTATAATATAATATATTTATAATAATATTAGTTTATACGTTTATAGTAGTATATGAAGTTGGGTATATATTTATTTGTAAATAATTTTATATATTATTAATTGTAAAATTTACCAGCAAAACACAAGTCATAAATGATTTTGTCAGGAAAATATAATAATAACAATAAAAATATATACTTAAACTTAATACATAGGTATAGAGTTATATATTCATTTCGACTTTCAAGAGCGTCGTGTCATATAAGGCCACAAGAGATTCTAGGATGATAAGTTCAAACGTGATTGTAAAATGTTGTCGATTTATAAAAATAAATGTTAACTTATAGTCAAATAATTCAATAAAACTGTTTAATTGATTTAAATTTTTAAATTGATGAACACGTAAAAAAATTATGGTTATGTTTAATTAATGAAGAAAAAAATGAAAGTCTTCCATAAGAAAAGAACCATAATTATGTTATTTGTCTACATAATTGTTTTTTAGGTAAAACATAACGTAAATCGTTAATGTTTATTTATAAGAACGAGTTAGCTATTTCTAATGTAACTTGTATAAAGTGGATGAGTAACGCAGTTACGTGGTTATATATTATGCATGTGTTTCAAGGGGCTAGGGGCAACTTACAGTTATACGTAGGTACCTACTGAAATGCCAAATAATTTACGATGTGAAATTGGCAATGTAACGAAAATTAGGTCAGAAAAAAATAACATTGTACCCAGACCAAAAACATATATTATTACCCATGTCAAAAAAAAGTTTGTCAACTTATTATAACACTTGATGACATTTATTTTGTGCAGGAAGGATGTTGTGTGTGGTGTCGACGGCGGTCGTACTCGCTGTACTCCGAATTACCGGCGGTCAGCTGCATGAGCCGCAGAAAGAAGGTCTGCTACAACGGCATGAAGATGTACAGCCGCAGATGAACGGAAGCGGTGGCGGCGAATGGAAGTGCCCTGAGGTGCGGAACGTGTCGTGCGCATGCGATCTGCCGCACACGTTACGCTGCACCGGCGGCAAGTCGACGTTTGAGACGGTGGCCCGGGCGCTCAGGCGCCTGTCCGGCACTTCGTCCATATCGCTTCTGGACTGCACCGTGCAGAACGTGGGATCACTGCCGGCCAAGATGCTCGACGGCGTCTCTCTGCACGGGCTGGTCGTGTCGTCCGGCGAGATCAAGTCCGTGTCAGACGCCGCGTTCGACGGACTCGGGTCGCCGCTCCAAGCTCTCGGTTTGCCCAACAACCAGCTCGAGCGGGTCCCCAGCTCAGCACTGGCCATGCTCAGCGGCCTAGAGCGTCTCGACCTGTCCCACAACCGTTTGCACACCGTTCACAACAATTCGTTCAAGGTATTATAATTATGATAGATGATAATGTTTTATATTAAACCGCCATATCTCAACATACCAATTTCCTATTATTCGTGGGATTTTTTTCTAACACTTCATATATATATTATATGGTATAGGTGCTATTCTTTTATACAACAAATAGCCACTCAACATTTTACAAAATAGGTCCAACAACACCATAATAACATCAAAATGTGTATCTAAGTGTCTAACTAATGTAAATAGTTACGAAAATCCTACCGTTAAAAACAATGCTATACAAACACATTTTAAAAACTAAAAACCTTAAACAATGTTATATTGTACACAATTCAACCTTGAAAAATATTATTCAGTTTTTTTTTACAAACGCCCACGATATAGTTATAATAGATATGTCATTGGGTTTAGTAAACATACCAAATATTGGGTGGAACACCACAATTTCACTAAAAACGGATTTTTAAGTATGATTTAATGATGGTGTTTTGTTTACAAATGGTATACATTACATTCTTTCATAATAACTATATTACACGGATATTGCGTAGACGCGGACAAAATCGTACCGGAAGTTGGAAATACTTACGTCCTACACGGCTACACATGCTGTAGGTTTTGATTTACCATATGGCGAACGCTATTGCAGCCTGCAGGGAAATAGGAACAGACGTTGTACCTACCTGGGGAAATAATATGTCCACGTAGTCAGTTGCTGTTTTTTTTTATGTTAAACTTATATAGAATTTAGAGTAGGTACCTATTGACGTATGTGGGTGCCATGGTGCAACTAAAGGGTCAATTTTATTTTCTGGTGGGATAGCCCTAATTTTTTCTTCGTGGGAAAATTCTCCTTATACATCCTATAATGAATTCAAATGTGCACATTAACATTTAACAATAGGGTACTTTCCTATATTGTCATTAATGTCATATATATATATATTATATATAGCTAATTGCTGTACATTTGTAGTATTTAAAATGTTGTTATTAATTGCAGGGATCGCCGAATTTGACGTTTTTGGATTTGAGCAATAATTCCATTCATTTCATCAGCCCAGACGCGTTCGTTAATCTGCCATTTTTGAAAGTGCTCCGACTACAAAACAATCTGCTTACGTCGACTTCGACTTCGCACCTCCAAGGACTGAGGTCGTTGGTCGAGTTAGACCTCAGCTCCAATTTGCTGGCCGGTCAACTGGGCCCCAGCACGTTGCCTAGGTTGCCGAATTTACAGATTATATCGTTGGCGCATAATCAACTCAACAGCGTTAGGCGCGGATCGTTTGCCGGACTCGAGGGTATCGTGTCCCTGACGCTTAACCACAATCAGATCGACGTACTCGAGGATCACGGTTTTAGGGCGGTGCCTACATTGTCCCATTTGGACTTGGCCAACAACCGCATCGTGGCGGTGTCCAGTGCTTCACTCGCTCATTTGACCAAACTCAAAACGCTTGACTTGTCACACAACTTTCTGAGGAGTTTGACGTCTGATCTCATCGTGCCGCTAAAGAGCATCCAAGTTATAAAGCTCGACGATAACGACATATCTATCGTGGCCGAAGGCGCATTGAACACCGGCAACCACATAACGAGCATCTCTTTATCAGGTATGACCGAAAAAAATCAAATATAAAATAATAGCCGTTCAAATATACGTCAGATTGTATTATAATATTAATATAAAGTTAAATCCAAATATTAAATTTAATGTATAATATTACTCTTAATATTATTTATTGATATAAATGATATAATGATATACCTATCCATTATTAACGAGAAACTACGTTAGGTACTGTCGTTTTTATTTTTACCCATGAAAATACATCATAATATAATTGGTATGGTAACTGGTAAGCAGAAATAAAGTAGGTAGGTACCTAACTACTAATTAATTGATTAACGGTTATCCTTCCGTCAATTGCCGGTGTCAGAATTTCTGAGTTTATAGAACAGGTATATTCTCTATCAAACAATTATTGTATTCAACATATTATGTTATACAATATAAATAGGTACCCATTTCCAGGAATATTTTGTTGTGGCATTGCATTAATTATTGCAGTGTTTTTGCTGCAAGTAAAACCAAAAAATAACAAATTTTATAGTTCACTCGTTTCCCCTGGTCCGATTATTAGATTGCCGTAGCATACAGTCGTAAAATTATGATGTTCAAATTCTCTCCAAAAAAAATTCGCTTGGTTCCTCACCCTGCAGCTGCCGTGGATACATTTAGCACTGCACTGCCACTCAATGGCCAACATAATAGCACAACGTTTTGGGTTTATGAGCACGGGTACAGGGTTATAATGTGGGTTATCACTATATACGTGTGCCATGTGCACGAAAAATGTTCAGCTATGTCCAAAAATAACACGGCAACGTACTAACTTGGTTAATTGTGTGGTAACCTAATCTAACCAACAAATCACAGTAAATTATTATAGCGAACGTGTATAGTGGAAATCCGCCTTTAGGGTCTACGTGACATTTTGGTTACACGGTTGTTTAACAATATATATATATAATATTTTATATACTTTAAATCAACAAATGCGTTGACCACGGTGAGTGGAGACGAGGATAACCGTCGTGAACCCAGAACCAGTTAAGAGGATGTCAGCACACCAATTGTTTTCTCTCCCTGACCCACGCGCAACATAGGAAATATATGTTTAGCAGAACTAACCCTGTGTTGCTACTTAATATTGTGGTGAATTCACATTTACCTATTATCAAACTTAAGCAAAGAACTTTACCCGTGTGCCTATGATGGCATATATTACGATATTTTAATTTTTATACAATTTTTAAGGATTTTTAAATTATAATAATTTATACGCTCATAAATTCATAACTTACACAAATATTGAAATATTATAAAATAGCCAACTTAGGGTCACAGGTAATGTTTTTAATTTAAAGTTTGACATTAGGTGAATTCACTGTCATATTTAAACTAACAGCGCATTGTTGGTTCTGCTCAAGCGTGCTGACATCCTCTTAATAGTTATTATCACCGTCGTACGATATAATAAGCATAGGTACCTAATATTTACGTTGGTTATCTAAAATGTGTATTTCTATTGTGAACTTTTAGACAACCCGTTGAACTGCGACTGTAGTCTATTGTATTTCGCCGGTTGGCTGTCCAATCATAGCGCGACCCATGCGGCCGGCGACACGGCCGTGTGCGCCACTCCGCCGTCGCTGGAGAACGGTCTGCTTCAGGATCTGCCCCTGTCCAAGCTGACGTGTGGCGGCGAGGACAGCGTACCACCGCCCGAAGGTCCCCTCGCTTCGATGCAACCGTACACGGGTACGAAAATTTCGCTGCGGTCCTACCAGTTCGACGGAAGCCGCATCAGCCTAGGTTGGACCGTCGCAGCGCCGGTCATATCCTACTACTGCAACGCGCTAGTAATCTACGAGGACATCGGCAACCACGAAGTATTGCTCGACTCGAAGCCGGTGAGGTGCAATTCGTCCCAGTTGCCCGACGCTAAGAGTCTGACTCTTTCACTATCGGCTAACGAACTGCAACCGACGCACAGTTACAGGTCGGCATTATGTTATATAATCAATAGTATTTAATAAATACTGTAGCGTAAATCTTACATTATACGCACCCTATATAGCACGATACCGAATTTGAACCTGCACGTGTATAATATAGTCTTACCTACTTATATCTACACACAAATGTTTCATCACTGCCATCGTGTTTGTCAAATGTCATATAGTACTCATCATCAGTGCATCACTCGTCACTCAACTGTATAATAAAGGTGTTGATATTCAAAATATATCTCATTAAATAGGTACCCTATACCTGTCAAAATGTCACTTGCAGCGAACTGCCTATAAACTTGAAAACTTATATAATCATATAGGTAAACGAATTACGCTTAATGGACATCCACAATAAAGTTCAACTTTTTAAATATTTATACTAAAGGTGTAGTGCTTAATAAATGACAATATAATATGAAAAACGTAGTTAGCATCATATTTGAGGTTTTGATCATATTAGTTTAAATAAATACCTATTATTATTCACTGTAATCTGCAGTTACATCGTTATAAAGTATAAAAAGTTGGGCACATTTTTATTCATTTTGGAAAATCGTCGAAGTTATTCCTCGGATGTTATTTTTATAGTAATATAAAAATTTATTTAATATTACATTTTTTTTTGTAGTAATTTAAATTTATTACCGAACAAAAATTATACTTATATTTTACATCGATTTGGTCTATAAATTAAAACACAGATTATGTATTATGTATCTATACTATTTTTGATAGCCAATTGGTAGTAGTGTAGTACTTACAGAACAATACTTACAATGAAATTATAAACATGATAATTATTATAAAGGCTTGTTTAGTATATTTTAGAATATGAGCGTAGCAATGAATGTATTGTATTTAGTATTTATAATAATGTGTTTTTTTCTTTCTGTCATCAACATTTTTGATAATAAAAATACTCCGATTTTTGACATCGGAATCTTTTCTGGTAGAAAAGTGAATCTAGTTGTACTTTTGAGAGGTCAAATTTGAAAATATGTAAAAATATATGGCTGTTGCCATTGATCTAGTACAATCATCATTAATCAATCGCTTCAAATACAACCAAATAAATAGTTGTAAATAAGTCTACTATAAGTTAAATACTTCAGATTTTTTCATCCGTAGTGGTACTCACTTGTGCATTTTTTATTATTATTATTGTTTCAAATATTTTCTAACTTTTTTAAAATAAGAAAAATTGATTTTAATTATTCTGCAGGTTTTTAATGCATCTGTTTGTCATTCACAGGTATTGCGTGGTACTGGTGGAGGGATACGCAACGGACAAATCGGACGAATCGGCCATGGTGCTTGGTTGCAGCGACATCATTGCCCTGGTGCCGAACGCGAACCAAGTAGTGCAGCCCAATAACCGGGCGGCGGCGGCGGCAACTGGGGTCGCGGACCCACCTGACATCCAAAACCTGACCACAACGTTCGTGCCACCGTCGTCGCTATTCGTGGCCGTACACCTGTCGGCCGTGTACCCGGACTCCGGCAAGTGTACGATAACGGTGTCCGTGTACACGATGGGCAGACCCCTGGCCCACCACCGGTTAAACTGCACGGCACCCTGGACCACGGTCGCAGAACTGCCAGCCGAGCGGTCGTATCAGGTGTGTGCCAGCATCGGTTCAAAGTTCCCCAAGGACGACGAGGAGACCATGGTGTGCACGTCAGTGGACGGGGCCGAGGACGGCATCGGAGGCGGTGGCCCGGCCGACTGGTTATTCGCGGCGTTGGGTGCCAAGAGCTACGCGTTCCTGTTGTCGGCCACATTCACGGCCGTCGTGTTCCTGTTTGTTTTGTTGGTGTACAGAACTGCGTGTCGGGCGTGTAGCAACAAGAAGCCTTCCGGCCGCGCGAACACTGTCCAAACACACCAGTGCTTCTTACCCGTACCGCCGCCCGACAACAGCACCCACCGGCCCAGATACGTGAAACTTCAGGCCACCACCGTCCTATAACAGGGTGGGTCACTGGTTCAGTTCACGCCTAGTTCGCCCTGCGGCGGCTGAAGTTGAACGACACCTGCGTTCCCGGAACAACCGCTGACCCTACCGGAACTTTGGTAGTCCGTCAAGCACCCCGGATTTCGAGGCTTTCCGCGGAATATTGTATATGTATAACGTACATAGTTTTTAAGTTTGTTTTTGTTTTTAGAACCTCGTGAGACAGTTGAGGCGCTTATAATATTATTTAATTAGGTATACCTGTTCAATGTGCCATATTGATTGTTAAACCTTTTGAGTTTCGACGGTAGGTATATGATTTAAAACATCACCGCGTTATTAAATATAATAATTGGTTATGATTTGTCCGTTGACGTTTGAATTAAGGTAGTTAATACTTATATTATCATATCACGCAGTGTTGTGTATTATTGACTGAATTCATCGACGGCATTTTAATATTAAATTGTCAGAACAACTATGAGATTGGCAGGTGGTGAAATGTCGACAATCCTGCTAGTGGTGGGATTATGTAGGGGGTATCGCCTGGCCCTGGCCCCTCCCAAAAACCACACCGTTCCACAATTGTAGTAAATTTGAGTACCTATGTGTAGTCTATGCTTAGTCTCCGTGGCTTTACACTTATAATAAGTTTCTAGTTGCGTTTATACGAGTAAACTATAGGTACATATATCATTCCATGACCATTTTTACATCAAGCGTTTTTAGTCCGAGGTGTTGTTAAATGTTTGAAATATATTTTGTAAACATTATTCAACAATACGAATAACCTTGTTAGGCTTGATTTGAAGAAATACATTTATAATTAAATGAAACGCCATACATTTGAATAATTGTTATGATATTTGTCATTGTCAATACTCTATAATCTATATTATATAGGTGGTTCAATCCGAATGAACACCTCAAACTTAGTTCACAAATTTACGATAGGTAAGTAGGTATATTACAATATAAGACTGAAATCTTTTTTAACACTATTTAACAATGTTTACTAACATAATGTTAAAAATGTATTTTGATAGGCTTACGATGTTTATTATTAATTTTAAACCAATGTTGTATCAATATTTTGTTAAAATTCATCTTAATTTAATTGCATTATGTGCCTTCTATTTCTTTAAAGTTACATTCTATATTTTTATTTATTTTTCGTACTTAACTTCTGTGGTTATGTACATCGCTGTAACATAATTTATTTTTTTATTTTTAATATTGTATTGTATAATTTGATTTTTAACACTATTTTTAATATATATATATACATATGGATAAAATAGTGTTTGAGTGGAAAGAAAGTCATATTGTGATAATGTACAAATGAGTAATGGTTAGTTGTAAAAAGTACTAACGATTATTATCATTGTATATAAATTTAATATTATAATATTTATAACTGTACATAACATTGGACGATTATTGTACGTTTGTACCTAATAATTTATATTTATCAATTGAAAATAAATCTAACCGTTTTAATCCTGTTGTGAATTTGTGGTTCATGCAAGCTGTTATCTTACGATTTAAAAAGTTTGTAGATACTTATAAGGTTAGAACCTAACCTAACCTTATTTTTTATTTTTCACATTGAAAAAACAATACGATTAAGATCGATATTTATTACCTTCATAGCGCGGTGGTCCGCAGACATATATCTTTCTGAGGAGGAGGGAAAAAATATTGAAAACCCTTGACTTTGATTTATTATAAAATCTAAAACTAAAAAATCTACAAATTATACATTATTAAGTATAATAGTATAAATCACGGTTATTTACTCGAGTTGATAACTGTGGTATAAATATAAAATAAATGTTTGGTCAAACAGAATTAAAAACTTAGAGGTTACAATTGCCTCGCATTGCTCCTTCCTTTCGGAACTCCATGATACAAAGATATTTACATTAAAACATTTTAATATTACAAATCCAGGTCGATATACAACATTATATCGAGCGATTCTATCTTTATATACCATATGTGTATCTATCTAATAAATACCTTTTGTCTTTGATAGTAAATTTTATAATGAACTGGTCGTCTATAACATTCTGATTACAAGTACAGAATTATGTGTACTTAGGTATATCGAAACAATTAAAGAATAGAATTGCATTTTATCGTAATATCACACGTGTAGGTACATATTGTTAATTTCTCGTGTGAAGTATCTACTTCATTTTCATAAATTGTTATTATTATTTCATTTTTCATTTTAAATATTTAATATGAACTTGAAAATTGGAGATAAGTTGTTCAAATTTTAAGTTTAATAGTTAGTATTTCAATTTTTTATGCGGAATTCAATCGTATAGCTACTTATGGATTATGGAATAATTGTTGATTTCATAATTTTAAAACTCTAGAAATCAAAATAAGTGCAACACTTTTTACATTTTAATAATTTATTGTGGTCATTTGTAGGTTATAGTAGAAGTTCTCAGTCTTATAAGCATGTATAACTTATAATTGCGTTTATATTTTGCTGGAAGTTCTGATAGAAGTTCCAGTAGAAAATTAATCATTAGTTATTACTTATTAGTTACCTAATACCCATTTTATAAGATAAAAATTAAAATGTTAGGTATTATATTCATAATACAACTTGTATGCTCAGACAAGTCCACTTAAATTTGTATGTGTAAAAATAAAAACAGTTTTGAAATATTCGATTAGGTATGTATTAGGATTAGGTACCTACTTATTTTTGAAACTTATTTCATCAAATCTAATATAGGTATCTACAGTGTTCGGAACGTTCACTAAAAAAATGAAATCGTTCACGTTCACGTTCAGTACTTAAAAAAGGAACTCGTTCGCGTTCACGTTCCTGTTTTTTTCAAACGAACGTGTTCACGTTCACGTTCATTCAAAAAATGAACGCATTTATTGGGCGTTCATTTAATTTTTTTTTCTCAGTTATTACTAATTAAATTTAAATTCGATATCATAGGAACTATAATGGAAAATATTATTATAATATGATTAATTAAAATATTTTAAAAATATATTTATTAAATGGTAAATAAATTAAACTTCTTAATAATCGATTAAGTTCATTAAAAATATAAACGGCGTTCACGTTCACGTTCTATTTTAAAAATACGAGTGACGTTCACGTATCGTTCACTATTTATGAACGTGAACGCGTGAACGTGCGTTCATGAACGACGTTCTTTCCAAACACTGGGTATCTAATATATTCAAGGCTGGGCAAGTTCATGAAAATAATTAACTGTTACAAGTTAAGTTAATTCAATTAAATTGTTTTCAGTTAAACTTAAAAGTTAACTAAAAAATATTAAACTTGATAAGTTTAAAGTTAATATTTTAAATAAAATTAACTTACCTTCGTTAAAAAAAAAGTTTTTTTTTTAAACTTCAATAGTTGGATGTAATAAATAATGATTTCAAGTCTCAAAACGCCCTAGTATTTTGACTTTCGAATACATATTACATATATACATCTATATAGCTTATATTTTATACATATATATACTAGCAGCTCCCGTGCACTTTGTTGCCCTTTAAAATGCCATTTTTATATGAGACTCGATGGTGATAATGCGAGCAGTATATTATGCCTGTCTGCCGTGGATTACTGACCCCGCTTGATGAGTACTTTACATAAAAAATATGTTTTATTTTGATTTTGATTGCGGACACACCGATGAGCGGCTTTAAGTGCAACTCAGCCACCTTGGTAGGCAATGTGCAAAAATTCAGTTGTATGCATACTTATACCTGATCTGTCCGATGAACCACTGCAGGCAACCAATAAATAAAAAAAAAATACTAATTTCTATTAAATACATTTATACTTCTTCTATAAGTTATAACCAATAGCAACGGTATATAAACATTATAAACAAATATTTCCTTCATAAATCTTAAAATCCCTGTTTAGCAACTCCCCGGGTCGGACCTACCGGGTCCAATTGTGAATATAAACCATCCAAGGCGTCACCCAAACGCATATAAAAAAATTCATTCAAATCGGTCCAGCCGTTTAGTAGGAGTTCAGTGACACACACGTACAGTCGAATTATATATATAAAGATAAATCCTTATATTGTAATACTTGTCTATACATTTAGTATATGTACAGGGTGATTTAAAATGTATGTTATAGCCATTTTATCACATACAAATTCAAAATAATGAAAAATATATATTACAAAAGTTTTTGTGATTTAGAAACATCTATTATGATTTCATAATTTTTTACAATATTTTAGATTTGTGTGTGTGTGTGTGNGTTGTCAAATTTAGAAATTAAAATGGGAACTTATAATTTTTTGCAAACATAATGTGAAGATATTTTTAAAATAACTTTTACTGCATGAACAACATTAATTAATGCAAAACTCTATGCTTGAGAGCTATTTAAGAAAAGTATAGGTTTTCATTTGAATTTCTTAAGTTGACCCCCAACCCTCTTAAAATATTGTAATCAATTATGAAATCATACTATTATGATATTACTAAATTAAAAAAATTTTGTATTATATTCACTAATAAAAACCTTGATAGCTCTGCTTGATTTGTCATAAGATGCATTTACTTACTAGTTACTTATATTATTACTCGTACTAACAGTTATTGATTTTTATTACAATTAAAAATTAAAACTATTTCATAATAAAAGTACAAATCATATTTTTGTATCCAAAAAATATAATATATATTTGTATACATTTATACTATCCTCGCAGTTTCTAATTCAGTCAAATGAATTTTAATTAAATAATTACAGTAAATTACATTAATAGCCTATACTTAAACCAACTAAGCTACACGCAACACGCTGATATATGGTATACAGAGTTCATAGGTATTGTAAATTGTTCTATTATAAATTACTTGTGCAAAATATGAAAATAAGACTAAATGTCTAAATAATTAATATAACATGGTAGATAGATATTTTTGAACAAAAAAAATTAAAACAGAGTTACATTTGGATAAGATATTAAGCTTAGACATATTGACTTTTTATAACTTTATTAAACCACAAATTATCACCAAGTACACGAGTTATTTTATTTATTGCATTTTTACATGTTATAAACCAAAATACATAAACGTTTTCATCTTAATACAATAATCAAGACATATATATTAATTTCAAACAAATCGAGAAACACAGACAGTCTTTTGTACTATTGCACTAGTAGAATAAAATAAAATAGAATATAGAATATATTTATAGAATCCAATATACATATTACATAGTAATAGTTGAATTACTATAATTTTTAGAAATTACATACCATAGGAACATTTGTCATTGTTCTGTTTATTTATATTTAAACAGTTTATTATTACGAATAAACACATAGGAATTTTGTAGAGTATCATGTTATATACAGAAAATAATTTCCATTTCTTGTTATAACTCAAGAATTTTGCAATAATTGTATAGTATGAATAGTGAATACGTAAGACGTCTAGTAGCTATTTGCTTATGGTTAGGTCTTAGGTTATTTATTTTAAATATAGTCAATATTGCCAAGCATAAATAACTGCTGTAGATTTTAATATTCAATTCACTATTTGGATAACACTGCAGGATTACAAGACAGTACTTACTTATAATAATAATATAATTTACTTTACTTTAAATGGTCATAGGTAAAGGTTATTATATTATATGGCAATAAACTAATACACATACAATATTATTGTACAACATAAAATTTTGATTGTTATGAAGATGCCACAGTGCCACATCCAAGTGTGTTGTCTTACATAGGTACAATATAGCAAATTTGCGTTCAGTAAAACCAATTTTGGGTTTCTATCTCAAATAGTAGATATTACAATTATAAAATGCTCATAGGTAAATAACTGAAAAATTTAAATACTAATAAAAACCCAAGAGATACCCTATTTTTTTCAAATAATAATCTTAATCTTACTTTTAAAAATGATAATAGGGCAATTCACTGTAATATCTAATATTATGTTAACGACACACAGCTAGAAAATGTTTTACAATAATATACAAAAACATAGGAATTTTGTACACTTTTACTTACCCAAATCATTAACCAATTTATTTTTAATACTATAATCAAAACTATCAAATAAACATGTAATGATTTAGTTTAACTTAATGACCATTATACAAATATTTTATTAGCTTGTATACTATATTGTAATATTGTATGAGCTGAAGGTTAAGATATGAACAATTTTTTTTGTGTGGTTTGTTTTAACCAGGAGTACAAAACATTTAAATGACATGTCAAAATAAATATAAATTTATTGAATTTTGTTTTACATTAGAATATTTAACACTAATGGTGGAACATAAATAAACAATAGTGTTGTACTGAAACATAAAATTGTTGTTTAAGTATAATATTGTAAAGGTCTAACAACAATATGCTTAGTATACAATTTTGTTATATAAATAATATATGTCAATTTAGTAACACATTAAATACAATTAACATATATAAATACAATATAATGAAAACAAATGTAAAAAGGTTAAACTGAATGACTTATTATTAAACATACAATACATCAATACAACAATTATTAATCGTTAAAGCTTATAAGTTGTGAAACAACTTAGAAACAGTTGTAAATTGAATATTATAGCAAACTCTAAAAATCATTCAAAATAATATCATGTGTATTACTAAATAATTGTATTAATAGTACATAGAGTATAATACATCCTTCAATTAGCAAATTGTATCTCTCTTAGAAACAATCAAACCAGGAATTTTAGTCCAAAAATGTTAGATAACTTACTTACATTGGAATTATTTTATTGAAAGAAGTTTTACAATATAGATAAATCTACTCTTGGACGTTTTCTAGACGAGCCAGCTTCTTCACCAGTTTCAACCAATTCCCTCTTTTTACCTCCATGCTAGAATATAAATTATATATATTAATATACAACATAGTTATTAGTATAACTAATATCAGATTTGACTATAGTTTATAGCTATATACAAATGAATATTTAAGATTCAAAAAGAACAAGCTTGGAATGTTTTTTGTATGGTTAATACAGAAATAGGTACATATTACAGTTTTAATAAATAAAAGTAAATATTATCTAAATGGGCAAATATAATATATGGGTACCTTGAATAAAAAGTAATAATTATGTGATTTTGTTGGTAATATATTATATTCTAAAAGTGCATCATGAAAGTTAAATTAATACTAAATAGCCATGTATTGAATAATTACATTTACATGCTGCATCACTTACAATTTGAAGAAAATAATTTATTAATTTATACTTGGAAATCCTTATAATGAGTAAAAACTGTTATGTTTATACATTCAACTTGAGTCTATGAGGCGATCCATTTAATGGAAGACCCTTATTTTTTTAGAAAACATTAAAATTTTTAAAAATATTTCTTTTACATAATTTAAGGTGGTCAAACACAATTTTTTAATTTCATATTCCGAAGCAGAATAATACTCAGAGTATTTCAATCTGTAAAAATATAGGTATTTGAAGTTTAGATGGAGGAGTAGAGAATTAACATTTTTGAGGGTACCCCACCCCCGGTACACCTAAATTATAATTCATAAATTACTGGTCCCAAATTCAATTTGTATACATCAAAATAATTTATAAAATATTCTGCTTTAGAATAAGGAATTAAAAATGCTTGATGTCACTAAAAAAAATTAAAAAGTTGAAAAATGATAGAGATACAAAATACTAAAAATATATTTTTTTTAGAAAAATGTTAACAGTTGTTGACCTAGTGATTTTATTAAATGAATCGATTGGTATGCAAAACATTGGTTATATAATATGTTGTACCATTTAATTATTTTATCAATGGAAATCAAATACTCAATTACAAGTAAGAACTGTGTTTATTTTTTTATTAAATTTATAGATATATCAAAATATCGTAATAGACGTTAAAATAATATCTTAAATTTAAAAACCAGTTAAGCTGTGTCCAACGTAAACGTGGTGAATGCGAGCAAATTCTATTCTAACCATGCTGTTTGTCGCGCAGCGAGCCACGAAGTACAAGCTATTTTGTTTTTTGCAGCGTCACAAGAGGACACGGCGTTAGGATGAAGTTAGTTAAGTATGTTAAATAGGTTCTTTGAATTATTCAATTATACATTTACCTTTTTATCCCATTGGTTATGTAGATATCGGAGTAACAAATTTGACTTGTCGGTAACAATAACTGAAATTAATAATAATATAATTTTAATTTTAAAATATAAAAACCTTTACACATTGTAGATTTATATCAAATGACATACACATATTAAAGTGATTTGTATATTTTGCTTCTATAATGTATACAAATTAAGTTAAAATTAACAGTTCTCATTGCATATTGTGTACAACAAATAAGGAGTAAGTATTTGAAAATAGGCGTGGATTTAAAAATATATAGTATATATAATATGCAATGAGTTAGTATTATATATTTTAATATTTAGTATCATCCTCCGTATTATCATTATACTATATCAGTACAATGTTATGTATCATATAAATGAGAAAGGTACTTCTAATCAAATTAAAAAAAAAAGTATTATAATATATTAAGTAGTCTACAAACCTTGGTCGCAAGGTTGATCATCAGTTGTTATGTAAACTGGAACACGCTTGCTTCGACCATTGTCTGAATGGAAACGGGAAAAATTGCGTTCATCAAAGGATGGCATGCCATCCAAGAATTCGGCTATTGACTGAAATATATAAAAGTATAATTAAATATTGTTTTTGTCTTGGACAGATTAGAAACAGTTATTCTGAATCTTTTATTACAAGTAGGTATTTAATAGTAATAAATTGCAAGTACTTTGCAAAATTGTAAAAGTAGAGTTAATGGGATTCTTACAGCATACTACCTAAAATGTTAATACCAGTGTTTAGAAAGAACGTCGTTCATGAATGAGCATTCACACGTTTATATTTAGTAAATAATACGCTAGAGACTAGAGGCACTCGTTTTTTTCAAAACGACGTTTATATTTTAATGAATTTGAATTATTTTTAATACTCTCAATTTATTTACCATTTTATTAATATTTATTAAATAATAATAATAAAAAAAAAATGGAATGGAATTAAATTTGGGCATGGTTGTCACCCGCCGATCCAGAGTCAGCAAACCAAACATTGCCCAGTTGGAAAAAACATCACCTGTTAAATATAATCTAACTTTTAATATTTAAAAAAACCAGATGGCATTTACTGGTTTGTAAAATCCAGATATCTGTTTGGCTCCTTTTATGTATATTTAACTCATACCTACTTAGTTTAATTTTAAAGTGAGTTATGAGCATTTAAAAATGTCAAATTGCTTGTACATTTTAAAATGAGCATAACTACCTCTAATATTAAAATATAAAAAAACCTATGAGACTCAATAGATAATAATATTCTTTTTTGAGCATTTTATAATATTATGACGGTTCACTTTCATAAGTATTAAACATAACAGGGTTACATGGATTATTCAGAACGTACATTTTGGTATGTTATGACTGTTATGAGGTTGTAAAATGAAGACAACCCATGCGGGTGTAGCGTCCTCTTAAATCAATCAACATCAAGAATTGCTAGGACAGAATGTAAACCTTTAATGGAAAGGCATAAGTCATAGGTAGGTAAATGTATGTGTACTGCACCATTTTGTGATGGTCGTGCACTCGTGTGTATCATATTTAGTGTATTTTGCACTCACCATGTCGGGGACGACGCGTGGTCCAAAATGCGTATGGAATAACGTGGAAGCCAGACGCTTGTTCTGGAGACCGTAGGATTGATGAACGCCAAACGCGGAACGCTAATATTGTCTTTGAATACTGCGAAATGCGAACTTAATGTTAGGTATGTAATTATTGTATTGCCTTGTAATCAAACACACTATCCACCACCGTCCGTTCAGCACAGTGAAAGTAGAATTAAGCGCTAACGTCTGGTAAGTAGTAACGGCAGTACGACACGCCGTCTGTCGGAATTGGAGTTGGGCTGCAGTTGATAGTTGATGTAGAGATGGATTATGGAAAACTGGATAAGGTCGTCACTGTGACAGTGTGACTGGTATAGTACTAAAGTTTAGTACACAACATTGACTGTTGTAGTGTTGTGGTAAGTAATAAATGGATATTACTTAATTATTTTACTGAATAAAAATGTGCTAGGTTTGATAAGGAGTTGAAATTACGAAAAACGTGTTGATAACTACTGTAAGGTGTAGTGAGCTGCAAGCTTGGAGCGGTAGTGGTATAATTGTGGTGAATCATGCCCAATGGTAATTGGTGACGGATCCATAGATAATAAAGATATGGATAGGACATATTGGTCTTATCAGCGGTCTTCGAGGGGAACAATTGAGGCCAAATAAAGTATACCTATATTGAGTATCGACTATCAATATAAAGGAGCCTCAATTGCCTTCCCCTCCGGGAACGCGGCCTCAAATGTATTCCACATAGGCGTGGCCTATCCATTTCTTTATTATCTATGGACGGATCAGACGATGATCGATAATATTATCATTCGACATCATTCATTTCATACTATCTTTCAGTGATATCGAGAACGATTTATAATACAACCAGCTCTCCGAGCATAGAACAATATAGAAGCGAAACTCGATCAGCTGATGGGAGTTTTGTTTCCCTATAATCTGAAGTCTGAACCTCCGAAAAACATGGAAACGTTTCCCTTATCAACATGATGTTAGACCCAAAGTCACCCGTATTATCAAAACGTTTCCGCCACATAGGCGGGGTATGCTGTGCGGGGTTGGCTTGTTTCCCGTAGGCCGTAACCACGTAAAATTGATGTATTCTTTTATTATAATGATTCAGTTTGAGTGTATAACTTATAAGTTATAACCAACTTAATGTGTAACAAATTATTAGTGATTTCAGTATTTTTAGCCAAATACTTTTCACTAAACAGTCCTTTTCAGGACTAAACTATATTATGATCTTGTGAAAGTTAATAAAATTGATATATTCTTTTATTTCAGCGAGCCGTTCATAACGTCATAATGAAATTGATGTATTCTTTTATTAAAATGATTCAGTTTGGATTATATAACTTACAACCAACTTATGTGTAATAAATTATTAGTGATTTCAGTATTTTTAACCAAATACTTTTCACTGAACAGTCCTTTTCAGGACTAACCTTGTGAAAATTAATGTATTATTTTAATGTAATATATTATTTATCATTTTTCTCTTGCAATTTTTGGTTTTATTTTCATTGAATAAATTAAATATATTCTTACAAAATTTCCAATGTGTTTGTTCTTTATGCCTAGTATTTTATCCCAAATCCAATTACCTATTATCGCATATTCACATTAGTCATTAATTTAAGTATTATAATATTTTTTCATTAGAGTTATTACTTACATTAAATTGAAATACATAAACATTAAAATGGTAAAATTAATAAGACTACATTTTTGTACAAAATGGTACAAAAAATATTGTTGTATGGTGATAACATTGATATGATATGTTTAATTGATAATGTATGCCACGCCCCCCCTGGAGACCGTGTTCATTGTTCAAGGCCATAATCGCCTGATTCGGCCAACGCACGGAGTTTCGTACCCCTGCTCCGAGCGTCGCTAGGGGAGACCCCCAGAACCCCCCGAGAGGGCTGAAAGTGGATTTCGGTCCACGGACACTGAATCGTTGCAATTCTAAAAGTAGCGTCTGTGGGTGGGTTAAACCTCAAAAGTCAGAGAAGGTGATAAGGATTTGTAATAAGGGGCTTTGGAGGTGTCGTTTCGAAGGCGGGAACGTTTGAAAATCCAAAAATCTGTGATTGAACGGGATTGATAGTCGATACGGTCCAGTCTTGTGCTCTTACAAATGTCGAAACCTAAAGTGTATAAATGAGAGCCGTATTTGAGTGTCTAACAAGTCAGTCACGTCCAGAGAAAATCGATTGACGTTCAATTTAGTCATCTATGCAGGCAATCTGGGCCAGCATGTAAGATATGTGGACACGGTGATGAGCAGCTGTAGCCTGTAAGTGAGAATTTCTAAAAGCTTATAAAAGGACATAATACAGTAGCTCGTGTGGTCACTCGTTCGCTGCATTGTTACGGACAATTAAAATTCAAAACAACAATCGATTCACAATGTAAAACCTTCTTGGATAGGTCTTGACTTAACGATACTGGTTAATTCTGATTTCACAATTGTCTGGATAATGAATTACAACTTTACTATGTGAACGCCAAGCAATATATTAGTGTCAACGTTAGTATAACTTATTAAATGAGAATGAAAATAAACAATTTGCTAAAAAAAAATAGATTTATATGTCAATTTTTATTTATTAATTCGATATTTAAATAAATTTACATGACATAGTTAAGTATGTGCTACTTTTCATAGAATTTAGAATTGTGTTTTGTATTTCAGATATATTTTGTTAAAAAATGTTATTTCTATTATAGGTATACACTAATATATACAAATACATGAAGACAATATACAATATAGTAGGTACATGATTTTATTATACTTATTATTAGCCATTAGGTACTGTTTTCTTTATGTTTATTTAAGTGTAAGTGAACCGCATAACAGAGCATACATTAAACAACATAAGAACAGTTGAACCTTGCTCATTGAATGTATATTATACGATTCAGTATTATTCTGGAATCTGGAATTATAATCTACATCAGTCAGCCTAAAATATATATTATATTTTAATTATTATATTCTCTGTTTGAGTGATTTCAGTTAAAGTTAGTATAAAAAATAATGAAAATCAATTTACATGACATTAGTATGCGTTTTACAGACACAGAATTTAGAATTCTTAAAACCTGAGTTCAGTTACAGCTGTACCCTCAGTAAAACTCAAAGTAGATGTGCAGTTTGTGTAAAAAGAATAGCCATAAGACTATAAATTATCATATAATGTTTTATTTATTATAATTTTTTCACTATTTTATGATAAATTGCCTTATTTATATTGATTTTTGTATCAATGAATCACATAATAGAGTTAACATTAAATGCAAATTCAATTATTATATTATCAAACAACAGAATTATGTGTAGGTAAGTCAAGCAATATAGAGGTGTCAACGTTAGTTTAACTTATTAAATGAAAATAAATAATTTTGTAAAAAAAATTAGCTTTGTTTGTCAATTTTCTGTTTATTAATTTGAAAATTAAATACATTGTAATCATCGACATGTCAGTAGCAAATATTATGCTAGTACACTGCAATTTCTAATATATCTTGTTAAAAAATTAAAGATTTTACAATAGGCATGTGCTAATATTTAATATATATATATATAAATACATAGACACAATATAATCAATTATGAAATACCTATATGTAGTTAAAGACTAAAGAGCCTATGCATTATCTATATTATTATGTAGATATTGTCTTACTTATGTTGATTTAAGTATTAATGTACCATGTAACAGTCATATTTTGTATTGAACATTGCTCATTAAAATAAAATCCAGTTGATACTTGTGTTCAACAATGCTCAAATCTATAATATTATCCTGGATTTACTATATACATCAGTCTGCCTAAAATACAAATTTAACAGTACCTATTTATTATGTACTATCTTTGAGTAAATTCAAACAGAAATAACAGAAATGTGTGTAGGTACGTCTAGCAATGTCTAGTTAATGTTAGTTTAACTTATTAAATACAATTAAACAGTTGACGGGAAGGAAATAGCTCTGTCGATGAATAATAAATGTAATTAGACCCAGAATTTAGAATTGTTTTTTTGTGCGTTAAGCTCAATTACAGCTGTACTGTCAGTATAACTAAATGTAGACATTATGCCATTATATCTCTGTATGTGAATAATTTTATATTATTATTATTATTATTTTTTTTTTATTTCAAAGTTCTGGTTACTAAAGAATTAAACAGGTTAAACACTGGATCATGGCGTTTGTAGCAGACCGTCCGAATTTCTTCGTTATCAAACGTTTGCGACATTTTCTGCTACAGAATTTCCTTATTCAGTGTTAGGTATATTATTTTGTTACCGTAACCAAAGTACTCTCTTTATTATGCTATGTCTAGTTTATTACTTACAACATAATAATGTATTCAAAATTAAAATCACTTTACCATCAATAAATCATCAAAATTATAAATAAGTACCTACTATATAATATATATTAGGTAGGTAATAATATTGAAACAGTCTGAAACTTAAATAGGAGCTTACATAATTGTCTGCTGTTAAATTAATTCAGTTACCTATAGAGAAACTAAAATAGATACGAAATAAGATATTGATGACAAGATAATAATATAATGATAATCATTCAATTCAATAATAATAAATATACCTACTTATTAATACTCTAATATATATATTAATATATAATGCTTAATAATATATAGATGATAATAGATATTCCAAACAGTATACAAATTACAGTTTTCATAGGTACCTAGTACAATATTTATTGAATTCAATATGAACAATAAGTTTGAGTTGATTAAGTATAATATAAAAATAGGTATACAATACTTGAAGCATTAAAGAGTAAAATATAATATTAAAAATGTTGTTAAAAAAAACATAATATAATAAAAAAATATAGTATTTTATTTTTATTTTTACTCAAAAATCATGTGATTTGTTTAAACAATAAACGTATTGGTTCATTTGGTGTCAGTAGAATAGATCTTGGATTTAATTTAATGGGAATTTTTGTATATTCACACGGAAATATTTCGAATTTCGATATTATTTCTGCTAGTCCTGTTTTGGCCTCCATAAGTGCGAATCGCAGACCTATTTGCGCCGAACAGACAACGTATATTAATTACATCATTATTTGTCTGGTTTTAATATTCTGATGAATATGTACTGTACGTAATATAATAGTATAACACACTATAGTATTATAGAACAACACTAAAGTGAACAATATTTACCAATACAAATCCTGGGTCCGTCGCCAAATGGAAGGAACGTTCCATTTGGTCTCGACGCTTTATTATCTTCTGTGAACCGTAGGGGATCAAACAATTCTGGATTTGGATAATACATGGGATCATAATGTAGTGAATATGTAGGTATCAGCACTTTCGTACCGATGTCCAAAGTTATGTCACTGTCTGGTATTTTAAACTTTTTTGTACACACTCGCAGTAGACCAGGCCCAGGTGGATGCATTCTCAACGTTTCTAAAATAGACAATAGTATTTGTAGTTATGAGTTATAGTATTTTAAAAAAGGACATTTTTTTCATAATTATCATCAAATTTTTCAGTTTTGTACATTAAACTTGCGCTCTAACCATTCAACACCATATCCAAATACTTCATATCTTTTATCGCATCGTAAGTGAGAATCCCTTCGTTTTCGTCTAGTGTATGTTTGATTTGTTTGCGCAATTCAATTTGAATTTCTTGATTCAAAGCTAACTCGTACAGACAATAGCTCATAGCAGATGCAGTGGTTTCAAAGCCAGCCGCAAAAAATACAAATGCGTTTGAAGCTAAGACATCGTCAGTAAATAATTCTGAAAATTGTTGGAGATTATTATTAATTTATTATTATGGACCGATTAAATATAAGGAGAGCAAAAAATGTATGGATATCACATTTTGTCAGTATAATATAATAGTGGATCTGAAGTGACCGAATTAGTAATTACATAATAATATATTAATATTTTATTAATTAAATTAGTTGTTACTTGTTCAAACATATGAATAGTAGGTAAAAATTAATAAAATATGTCACATATATATTATAATCATTAATCAATTTTTAATTTTAATAAAACATATTATTGTACACTGCTATCATACTTTCATGACAAAATAGTTTATATTGTGTTCGAATTTTGGACTCTTGAACTTAAGTTGCATAGTTAGAATAACATTCTTCAAAGTTCTGTTATAATTTTTGTTATCACAATACGAAACTATCACAAAATCTCGTTGTTAGTAAATTATTTTATACAGCCTAAGGTGAGAGGCGATATTTGGGGACTCCCTATGGTTGCGGCCACTCAGTAGCGGCATCAGGAATTTTATCTTGGGGGGCCCATTGGTGGCCTTTGAAAATGTGGCAGGGCCAAAAAGTCCCAATGGTCTTTTTCCCATTTATAAGCTCAGTATAGGGTAGATGTCGTACACACTATTTATTGTAAAGATTGTGTTGCATATACTAAGTTTTCACATAATTATTGGTTTTCATTTTAATTGATAATAAATATCATATGGGTATAGGTATATTATTTAATATTTACACACTTAAACATTAGATATCATTTTCAACAAACTTACATTAAAAATGTGTACTTTATTATAAATTTAAAGAATTTTTTTTCTTGTGGTTAGGTGGTCAAGGGGGGCCAAGAGGTGACCAAGACAAATTTAGGGGGGCCGTGGCCCGCCCAGGCCTCCCACTGGCACCGCCACTGCGGCCACTGTCTTGAATACTATAAAGTAGGAAGAATTCAGTGTCACATAATAAATTCTCAAAATCTACTATGTTATATTAATTTAGATTTTATATTCACACATACTCGACTTATACGGTCACTTGTGAACTGTGAAGTAATAATAACTATAAAATATAAAGAATTATATTCACTTATTACTTATTAGTATAATACCTATAAAGGCTATAGTTACTAGATACCTAATTAACCATGTATTTAATAATTTGACATGCAAAACATAACTAATAAGAACTTAAAATGATAAAATGTCTTTTATATAAATTACCAACTCGACTGTTGTTTAGTTTTTCATCGTTCCTCAATCTTATTAAAATTGAAATGAAATCGTTACGATCTTCCTTTTCATTTTTACGCAACTCCAGTGTATCTTCAAATAAATTTAAATAAAATTCATAGACGAGATCGGGCATACTACGTAATCTAAACAAATCGACTAGCCATCCTAGATCAATTAACCTCATAAAGTTTAATACAGACGATTTCAATGTGGGTGTAAAGACTGCCTGTCCAGCTCGTTGAAATTCTGTGTTTGCGTCAAACAATGTATTGCAATTTATCCCAAAAGCACACCTTCCAATTGTGTCTATCGTAAATTTTGATGATATATCGGTGACATTAACAATACCTGTGTACAAAAAACATGATAGTTAAAATTCTAAACACAATAATGTAAGGTAATGTATGGTGTATTGGTGACTGGTGTGTATAATATTTTACTATGTTTTTTTAAACAAATATATTAATATATCACCGTATAGCCGTATGGGCGTATGGCGTATAGGTATATGTTTGTAAACTTTATAAATACTTACTATATAGTATATGCTATGATGCTATATAAATTATCTAACCATAGATCTTAACTAGAGATGAACACTTGTACTTAAAAACCCCCAAAGTTAAAATATATATTATGCACTTTTGCATTTAAAAACAAAAAATATGCATTTAAATTTGTATGTGAAAAAAATGAATTAATTATATTTTAATTATTTAATAATACTTAAAATTTAAAATAAATAATTGCTTTTGTCTTCTTCATTTTATATTTATTCTACTATAAATTATGGCGTACAACTGAAGTTCACTTCCTACACTCGTCACTGTGTTATCAGCCAGACATTGAATTACTTAACCGATAATATTAATATGATATATTATAAGAATGCACATATTTAAAAAATAATTGGTCAGTGCGTATTTACGGGGGGAGGTTAGAGAGAGATGTTTCTGAGTTTCTCCCTAATCCCCTTTGCGGTTTTTATCGTAGTTCTTAAAATATGTAATTTGTAGATAATACCTATACTTAAATACTCGCTTTATTAGGTATGTACCTATATTAAATATAAAAAGAAGGAATTGTTTTTATCAAAAGAGAATAACCTGTGGGCTGATCGATTTTCGTTAGTGCTGCTGATCTCGCTCCAACGACCCGTTGGAACAGTGAATTTAGACCCAGTTAAATTTTACTGGAGGTAAATGTTCCCGGCGGAGTTAAATATCCCTGGTGAAATTTTACAAGGGATAAAAATACCTAGACAATATTTACAGGGGGTAAATAATCGCTAGTGATATTTTACCTCAATGGTGTAAAATATCACTGAGTCACTGAGATAAACTTTCGCGGTTACACTCGTCACGCCAATCGCATCATTTACAATGCGCAAAAAGTGATAACTTTTTTTTTAGACAGAGTAAAGTCGTGAGTGCAAATTAAAGCTGGTTTATGTAGACTTTACAGGTTCAATACAACTTCACGAAATTTTCACTCCAATTTGATAAAGTGTACATGTTTTTACCATGCTGTCATTCGCGGTGTGAAATAATATATTTATTATTATTATTAGGTATTAGTTATGGGTAAAGTTCGGGACGTCTTGCATGATTTTTTGGGGTGGTTATAAATTATTATTTTAAGTAAAATATAACATTTGTTATGTAGAATTGAAACTATATACAAAGTTTTACTTTGTATAATTTTGCAAATTTTGTTATAGGTACAAGAAAAACTACATATTTCAACTTATTATATAAAAATATTTTTTTTTCAAATGTTACTATTTTGATATAATATGTAATATTGTTGGTCAATATCATGTTTGAATAACATTTTTAGTAAAATATTTGCCAAAATGAATTACCTTTACATGGTATTAACTAATAATAATAATAATAATAATAATAATAATAATTATTATTATTATTATTAATTATTAATTATCTTTATCAATTAATAATTGCTATTGATAATAATATTATACGATTAGGAGTTTAGTGATGTCTAGATTCTATATAGTATTGATAATTAAAAATCAGTTTGTATTGTGACGACTGTAATTTCGTACTGTAGTACGATGTGTAATTACTAATTAAAAAGTGTCGAAACAGTACAATATAGTACCTATTTATCCATATATTTTTTTTACTACCTCAATTTAATCATTATTTTTTTTTTAAATAAATCTTTTTTGATTATTTATATTTAATATGACTTAAATATTTATGAATACTGTAGAAGTTTAAATACATATTTATCTAAATACAACTTAAATTTATATATTTTTTTATAATATATTATAAAACATATTGTATGATATAGGTTTCAAATATAATTCACAAAGTAAAAAAAATGTTTATCATTATAATTATTTATCAGAGTATTCTGTTTTTTTTTTTTTGAAAGATGTTAAAATGATTTTAAATTTCATAAATGTATTTATTTTAAATTATTTTTTCATCTAAACTCAACTACCTGCCTACTATAAATGTCTGATCACTAGACGTTAATTGATATTTGATTAAGTCATTTGACTATTTGAGTTTACACTAAACGGTTTATATTTTATAAATTTATAAAATATATTATACCTACTACAGTACAAGTGTACAACGTTCCTAAAATTTACTGTATGCACTCGATAAGAGAGATTTTAAAAACAGCTTTCACTTGTTATTCAATGCGGTGTATTACATTATGTTACACGTCCAACGTTTAATCAGTAGTTTGATTCTAAAATATTTATTACTTATTTTATTCTCATGAAATGTTTTATCAATATTAGTAACTTAAGTTTTTTACTTGTTTTAAACTAGATAGCCGGTAGGTATATCTATAGTATATTATGTGATAATTTGCAAACCTCCAAGGCTCCAAATTAAATATTGATTGCAATTATATCCATCGATTATATTGTTTCGTCAGTCATGATGAGGACATAACTCATATAACATGTTTTACCAAAAAAAAAAAAAACGAGAATGAAAAACGAGCACCAACAAACCATATATATTCCACCAACCATGGTTGTCACGAACATTGGGTGGTTCAGATATGCAATAGACGGAACACAGAAGTATTTAAATTGTATATGCAAATATACTATACCAACGTATTTATCAGCGGATATTGTAATTACTGTACTTTATAGTTTATTTATTGACTATAGGATACAAAGTTATCACGGCATCACGCAAATTATATTTCACGTATAGTTATAGTCGTATAGAATTGCTCTTACCGCTTCTTAGTTTCTGCCACCTATATAGCATATATTATAGATTTAACAATGGGAACTTTTAGACTCTCTACAGCTATTGTCAATTTATAAAGTATAACGGTTATTGACTTATGCTTATACTAACAACTGCCCATCAAAATAGTCTAAAATATTGACGTTGACGGTATAATCTGATGCAGATGCAATTTTCATACTTCTTATTATGAAATTTAATACCTTGGCCACCGGACGTAAGGAGCAGCAGTTTGTCGGTGAGTTGGCCGGTGCACACGTGCAAACTGGCGAACATGGCTTTAAGCTTGGCCACGGTGAACGTGGGACTTAACTTGGCTCGGACGGCTTTCCACTTGTCTCCCCTTAGGTTCACTAAGCTGTTGAACAGCCCGTCGTGTTCGAACGACGTCCGGCTCATCACTCGGTCGTGGAACGACGCGAACTCTGTGGCCAGCACCGCGTGTACCAGCACCGGGTCACGCACTACCAGCATTGGGTGCCGGAGCTGGTACAGTCCGAAGAACCGGTGGCCCGTGAACCGCCGGTAGAGCGTGTCTACTGTGATGGTGCCCGACTCACGGCCCATTGTGGGCCCGGCGAAGTGACCCAGCAACGGTGTCGGTTTGGTGTGCGGCACTCCCAGCGCTGTCCAGTGTCCATAGTAGCGCGTGCAGTACACGTACGCCAATAGCGCCGACGTAATAGCGGCAATCGGCACGATCTCCAGCCAACAACTGAAGCAGATCATCACAAATGATACAAACGGTTAGTGCATGCACTTGTGCAGGCACAAATTAGGCCTAACCGACAGCGTGAAGCTCAGTATAGGCGATACTGATATTATACTTAACTGCGCACACTGCCGCCGATGACGGCGCCGGTACTACTAGTTACTGGTTTACTACTACGCTGCACATGCTGACGCAAACGACGATGCAGTCAATATTATTATTATAATATGCAGTCATTACTTTTTAGTCAATAGAGTATAGCTCATAGTGGGATTCCCCACTATCTCGGTGCAACATCCACAATAATAATGATAAAATTATGTTGTTTTGCGGTGCAGTAATCGTTTCTGCCTAAGCTAATGTATCGGCCTCGTTTATAATATATAATATATAATAATTAAATATAATATATTATTATATATTATATAATAATACAGTGTTTCTAACCTGGCCGGGTGCTTCTCATTGTTGAGGAGACGCAAGCAGGTCATCAGGAAGTAAAATTTGTATTTATTTAATTATTTGTATTTTACAATGCAGGGAAAAAATGAAAAATGACTGGTTATCGGGTATAGAATATCGATGTGGATGACGAGTGTTTAGCCCCTACCTTAATACTCACTCGAGGAATTTAATCGGTTTATATCACTACGACGCGACTTCCGTAAATTATTTTTTTTTTCAATTTATAGATGGAGTCTTTTTGAAAATCTAAAAAGGAGTTGTAGAATAGAAGAATTTGGGAACCACTAATATAACTTGATTATATAAATAGTAGGTACATAATAATAAGTAAGTATAAAGTACCTATTATATTTAATAACGGGACGGAAGAAGTAGTCCTCCTTGGACATGACGCTTAATAATAATTAAAATCATATCATCGTGAGTACTCTTATTAGGACAACCATTAACCTCTATTTTGCAATCGTCAATGCTCATTAGAATGCTGGTTTACATGCTACATGCATCTAAAACAGCAGGATTAAAAGTACCTACCTAATTCAAAACAACAATCAATTCCAATATGGTTGTTTATTCTATGATCTATATTATTATATTATTTTCTAGAGTTAATATAGTGTTATTACGGAACGACTAATTTACTATAACCTATGTCAAGAGAGAAAAAACACTCTGCGGACTGACAAAATTCCGTTCTTCTGCAGAATGTCCCCATTCGGTACCCTACCACAGTGCCATAATGGAACCAATCTCGATGGCAACGTGTCACGTGTGGGTGTAGATGCGCAGATTTGAAGTGTTCTCTCGCTGGACAGTGTTATACAGTGAATGTTTTATTGGTTTTATTTCCGAAAGTATTAAACTATTGACTATAAGTATTTTTAATCCCGGAGTTAATAGTTAATTCGATTTAAATAATTAATCAGCATTAGTTTAACGTGCACTAAAAAGTGTTTGTATGCCTCTAATTCCCGAATTAACGAGCATTGAATATTGATTTAATGAGCATCGACGATTGTATATTTGTATTTTGCATATTTTGAGTGATCGTCTCGAGAAGTGAAGTGATAACAGTCTTATGAAACAAATAGCAACAGCAAATAACACATTGCAATTTGCAGGGGCCGTGATATCACAATAGTTTATTAATACTTTTGAATTAACTCTTTTACTCTTATCATTGAATAACATTTTAATGGTTGTATTATTGACCAACACTTTTGAATGATAAACGAATCGATTCATTTGGCGTGAGTAAAATTGATCTCGGCCTAATTTTGATCGGAGTTTGTGTTTCTTTACATGGCGATACTTCGAATTTCGACAATATTTCAGCTAGTCCAGTTTTCGCTTCCATCATCGCAAATCGTAAGCCTACGTTTATAAACATCCATTATTTATCAAAACTTTAAATGTACTGACATAAAAATACATTCTCGTGGCTACTAAATTAATTGAAATGTAGTATAGGTATAGGTAATTACCGATGCATATCCTAGGTCCATCTCCAAACGGGAGGAACGTGCCGTGTGGTCTTGAACTTGTATTTTCTTCAGTGAATCGTTCTGGATCAAATATTTCTGGGTCGGAATAATACTTGGGATCGTGATGTAATGAATATGTGGGTATTATTATTTTCTCTCCGACATTTAGTGTTATGTTACTGTCCTCAATTGTGTACTTTTGAGTGCAAACTCGATTTAAAACGGGAACTGGTGGGTGCAGTCTGAATGTCTCTATAAAAGTTTGTTGATAAAAAAAAGTTAATCATAAAGTTAAAAATATATTTTACTTATTTTTATTTGATTTACTGTAAATTTATAGCACAACATATTGTTGGAACTAACCGTTTATCACCATATCCAAATATTTCATGTCTTTTAACGTATCGTATGCGAGCTTTCCGTCGTTTGCGTTCAATGTTTGTTTGATATTTTCTCGTAATTTTATTTGAATTTCTGGATTCATCGCTAGCTCGTACAAGCAATAACTTATTGTTGAAGCTGTGGTTTCGAAACCAGCAACAAAGAATACGAATGCATTTGCAGCTAATATGTCGTCAGTAAATAGTTCTGAAAAGTAATATAACATTTAATCATATAATATTATATGTATATTTTTTCTTAAAACAGATTTTATTAGAATTAGTACAATATTTTCGTAGTATTTTTTGTAATTGATGTCCTAATGAATTTGAAATTAATCGAATTAATTTCTAAATTTGAATGGTGATCATATATTACAAAGATAGCTAATGCTAATAGTGATAATAATTATTAGCGAATAGCTAATAGTAAACAGTTAGACAATAGGTATTCGAGTATCCTATTTATTCAAGTTATAAAAATATCTTAGGTATTATTTACATATAAGTAAACATCTTAAGCTGATTGTTGACCATTTATTTATATGCTTATTAACATAATTATGAAACATAAATAACTTTATAATTTACGTACAATTTAATATACATGTTAATGAATTAATGAAATTCAATAAACTAATACTCGTAATTATCTAATAAGTAATAAGTAATAGTTTTTACATATCTTCCAATTTGCAAATAAATAAAACCTATTTAATTAAGATTTATAACTAATATAAAGTCTAAATGTCTTACTTTGTCCTTGTTCCTTCAGTTTTTCTTCTTCTTTCAATTTTACTAAAAGTGCTATAAAGTCGTTACGTGCATTTTCTCCATATTTGTGTTGTTCCATTGTAGTCTCAAGTAGATTATCAAAAAAGTCATAAATGTTTCCAGGCATACCACGTATCCTAAATACATCTAAAAGCTGACCAAAACCAAGTAGTCTGGTGATACTTAGTAAAGTTGATCGAAGTCTTGGAGTAAATATGGCTCGTCCCGTACGACGAAATTCTGAATCTGGATCTGATAATGTATTACAGTCCAGTCCAAATGCACAACGGCCAATAGTATCAGTTGTAAATTGAGCCGACGCTTCACTTACATCAACAATTCCTGTAAGTACAGCATTTTTATTTTTGACTTTACTTTTAGGTATAAAATATTTGTATAATATGTTAAAACTTAAAGTGTTAAATTCGTATATATGTAAATAATAGGTAGGTACCTAGGAAGGTAATTTATGTAAGACTAATCTTTTGGCTACATAGATAACAACAAATATTTTTTTATACATAAAATATATTCACGTCTAATTAATGACGTGGGTTCCTAAATATAGTCCTACTGCGTACGATCAGCAATACCAGCTATATGGTTTTTCGGTCATTGCACGCCTACGGAATTTCTTTCTTTTTATTGTTTCTGTAAACTGCATAGTATAGATTATAGAATATGAAAAATAACAAAAATCGGAACAAGTTACACATTTCGACGCGAGTATAGAAAATGATAAATACCCCAGAAGCCCTAAGTACCTATCTTACCTGTATTTATAACCATATATTGTACTACATTACACACATAACATATAGCCATTGTATTTAGGTAATATAATATATTATTACCACTGTTTTTCATCATCTGCCCATTCAAGTTGTCGATCAAACGCGCTGTGCATACGTTTATGTCACCCAACATGGACTTGAGCTTGGCTGCCGAGAAAGTCGGACTCAACTTGGCCCTGATTGCTTTCCACTGTTCGCCCCGCAAGTTCACCAAGTGATCGAACAGCTTATCGTGCACGAACGACACCTTGTCCGCGTTCCGGTCGACGAACGACCGGAAGTCCTTTACCATGATAGTGTGTACCAGCTGGGGGTCACGGATCACCAGCATCGGTTGGCGTCCCTCGTAGATTCCGAAATACCGTTGCCCATCGAATCGGTGGTACAGCGAATGGATGGCGTCGACGAGTGGTACGCTGCCCATGACCACGTCGCGCAGGCTACCGAACGGTGGCGATGGTGCGGCATGCGGTACGCCGAGCCCGGGCCACTTCCCGTAGTGGTACGTTAAGTACACGTAACACAGGAACGTGACGAGTAGAACCGCGGCGGCGCAGAGTTGGAGAAACGGAATCGACCACACACCCGACATGGCGGATCCAAGTGCACAGCCAGCAGACGGAATCGTTAACGTAATGGCGGCTGTTCACGTCCGTCTGCCCGGACGCACAGTGCAAGATCTATAAAGATGATCTTTACAGATCTCACATGTAACCTTTCACTTGACTAACTGTAACTTTTGCAACGCGCTGTGTGGATTGATGCCGTCGTCGAACAATATAAATGTGTTGATTATCGAGAACGCGTCAGTGTTGAAGGACAACTTGCAGTGTGACTAACTCGAGTGACGGCAATGCGTTAACTGTAGGTGTAGTAAAATATTATTATTGCTTTATTTATACTAAATAATTTACGCGTGCGTTTGTTGTACTATTATTATTATTTATTATGATTGACACGAGGAGAGGGTACTATAATAACAGTAGTAGTACACTAATATTTTTTTAGTAGTATCGAACCGAAGTTCAAAAATAACTACCATCATGATTACCCGGTCAGGCGTGTTCTAACATAGTCAATTTGTTATGAATATTAACGAAAAATCATCATTACTTAACAGTTTACGATATATTATATTATGTTTATTGTATATTGTGAATTTGTGTATTTATATATTACTGAGATTTATGAGTCATATAATATGATAGTCTATTTTAGGTAGGTAGGTACAAAATATATTGTAATAGTCAACGTGACGTCATTAGTGCGCCGAACTAAATTGAAGGTTGCAGAGTTATGGAGAGGATGGAACAGTTATTACTTATCATGTTAATTATTACTAATTAGTAAGTACTCGGTCCATAATAACGATTAAAGAAATCCTTCTAACCTCAAAATAGGTACCTATATTAGGTAACTACTGTAGCGGTTGTAGACTGTCCGATATTTACGAAATTGGCGGACTATTATTTTCGATAGTCGTCACTAGACGCCATTAATTTAACGATAGTTTCACTAACTATAATCGCTTTTAATATTTTAGATACCTAGATAATTTATTATATAAATTTCATTTTTTAGTAATTATAAAATATGATATGAACAATAACTACAATCGTTAAGTAAATAGTTTACCATTGTCTAAATCAATAAAAAAAAAATTATTACTTATTTAGTTTTTTGAAAATTGAATGAAAAATAAAATAAGCTTGCAAATACTAAATATTGTCAAATCCGGCAGTTTCAGAGTCGAACTGTATATTCGTGGCGTTCTTCGAACATATATTATTATGTTTAATTTGTCTACAAATTACTGTTCCAGTTGCATTTATTTTTAAGTTTCTAGTTTCAACTAAGATTCATAATAAAATAAACAATAATAATTAAATAATAATGTCAATTAATAGCTTAATACCAATTTAATAAAATGCCATTATTAAGTTATCATGCCTATGTTGTATCGCGTATAATTGTAAATGTTGAGCTATCATGGTATATACTAATAGATAATAAAAAAAAAGTTATCATGTAACACTTTACATGGTTTTTAATCCATATACTCATAATAAAAGGACTTGTCTTGACTAACCGATTGATTCATCATTGCCTAACCGGAATCACCGTTATTATGAGTATGTAAATTGATCAATATAGTTCCGTTATATTCGTACGATATAAAGACCCGCCACCCACTAAGAAAGGGTTTTCCAAAATATACGTTTAAAAAGGTTCTCAAATCGGAAAAAAAGATCTTGAAATTTACTGTTATACAAATGGACAATGGTATCCATTGGTTATTCAAGTAGATCAATTACAAGCATGCATTAGATCGTAGCGAAAATCTCAGAGATTATTTAAAGAGGTATCAGAAAAGTTTAGAGATTAAGTATTTAAAAAATATACTTAGTCCTAAATTTAATCAATGACTTGTAGTTCCCCATTTAGGTAGAGCATATAATTTCACAAATCTAGGTTTATTCATGAACGGAGGTACGCCAAAATGTAGATACACTCAAACCGAGATAACCTATATAGCGTATATATTATTATATAGAATTTGTCGTACTCTAACTGCATCCTGCATTATCTCCTGCTACCAAGGGCTCTCATAATATATATGTATTATGGTTATATTAGCCTCGAAAGACAATACCACAAAATATGTTGTGTATAAACTATAAAGAGGTATTACCATGAATTTCGAATAAAATAAAATACATTTATAGGTTAGGTTAGATTTCAATCGATAACCAATCGAAAAATTAATGCTGTGAATAAGCATTCTGGGCCCTGGGATAGGTTCACAGTTTAGAGAGAAAATAACCACCAGAAACTCGTAACACAGATTCTTTCTTTTTAAAAATTATTATTTGTTAGCTCTCCAAGAGTCAAATATTTAATTTAAATCTGTTAAAGGTCTGTAGTACGTACACGAACGTGTGCCGTTTAAAACTTTTTGCATGTCAATTGTGCAGTTTATTCCCAATTAATTGCGATGTACCAAAACGCGTTACAAGCAAATCCAATACCTATTAAAAATATTAAATCATAAATTGTTAGAAATAGCTATATAGGTATTATAAATGAATAGTTAGCATTGTTATTATTAATGCATTGGATTATGAAATCATTAGTTAAAATAATATGAACATCGTTATTGTCTATACCGGATAAATGAGACGTGTCATCAATACGGCATCATATTTAAATTTAATTTTTGGTTTTCATAACTATTTTTATAAAATTAATATTCTAAATAGTATATTATTATTTTGGTGGATATTGGACTTATGTATGAAATAGGTACCTAATGAAGTTCAAGTGTAATCTTTTAAAAATAAATATATATATATATATATATATATTAAACGTTATGTAATTAATCGAACAGTTTACAGTGATAATCACCATAATACTGCATTTATAAATGTATATTTTATAATATCTACCTACGTAATTACTTACACATATCTACTTCTAACTGAGTTTTAAAATGAATACATTATATATTATACAATATAAACACACATATATATATTTTTTTTTTATGTGGTGATTTATAGAAAATAACAAATATTATATTTGCTCTATTTATGTTATTTTATCAGTTTGATTTAATATGATAAATATTTTATATGATAAGTATTATATAAACGTATTATCAAGGATGAAATTCAAGCTATAACCTATTGTCAACAGAATTTTATTATTATTTGGAGCAAGTCAATGTTAAGTACATATTTCTTCATATCACGCCAATAATCGTCCCAATGAATCGATGATATTTATCTACTGCTATTATAACAACTTAAAAGGAACCTTGTATTCAATTTTTCAAGCTTCAGATCAAATTTAAAGTCAAATTTGATTGACATTCATAGAAAAAACTAAATAAATTTAAAATGTCTACAACATAATAACTCAAGACGAGTCAAAATATTTTACTATGTAAATTATATGATATTTTTGTGTTTACAGTAATTATTTATGTTACTAATATGCAATAATACTACAGTAAGTTAAATTAATTTTTACCAAAAAATTGCATTTGAAAATGTTATTGAGTGTATACAATACAATAATTGAATAATGTCCTCTAAAAGTCTCAAATAGCCAACGAATAATATTTGTCAATTATCAGTGGTCGAAGTGACTCAAAATAAGTGGAGGGATGTATTTCAGATAGTTCTCATACATCGCTTAAATAGTTGTACAAAATAAGTGGTGGGATGGAAAATGTGAATTATAAAAGTAGAGGGATGCCGTCCCACCGTACCCTTCACTTCGACCAGTGTCAATTACAACAATTTATAAAAAAAATCACGTTAGGTCAAAATATTTTGAAAATTGTATCATGTATAGAAAATTATAGTACATTTGATGATAATTTTAAGTACCTACATTGAAGAGTTTTTGAAAAATAAGAAATCGTTGTATGAGCATTTGTTTTTACGGGTTAATAACCATTATTTAATATCTAACTCTAAACGCTCGTAAAAAATTAATTTGACTTTCCGGTTAATTTTTTTTTTTAATGTAGGAAAACTTAAAGGGAATCTTGTATACAAATTTCAAATTTTAGTTACATATAGAACAATCTTATGAATTTCTATAGCTCGAAGTAATTTCTCAATTTTCGTGATTTTGATGAATTTTTTCAAAATTTTAACTTCAGACTAATCTCTTACATTAATGCCTTTGCAGTTTGCTTATAATAATAATTCACATTGCTATGTTTGTTGTAATATTTTTTATTCTTATAATTAATATTATTATTTTGCATCTAAATATTTTGCCAAAAAAGTAGACTTTATCGGTAATACTAATAATTGTTTTAAAAATGTTTCAGCAAATGTGTAAAACTTATTACATTTATATTATTTTAAAATTTGAATACTACAGTACATATTTTGTTCCTAGTTTCTACTACTCATATTTGTATTAGTACATAATATGTGCCTACATAAATTATAATATAAGATGTAAGATTCGAATATTAACCTCTGCTACGTCTGGTACTGAAATTCTATTTTGGCAACACCTTAACTGGGTCGCTAAATATAGAATGACATTGATAATGCTCTCCTGGCTTCTTATAATATGTACGGCTGAGCATCCGCCAGACTATAGAACTTTTAAAAATAGAAAACCTAAAAAAAACTATCAAATCCTTCAAACAAAATTTTTTTGTGAGAAAATTGAATAGGTATTTGCTGATGTCAAAATATTAACGAAATAAAAATTATATCAATTAGGTAACAATTTTCCATTTATTTACACGATAACAATAATGAAGTCTGATTTTATGATACAAATGTAATATCCTCTTCATTGTCCAATTTACTTTAGATGTACTTGCAAATTGGGTGAAATAGGTTATTTAATTTTCTTACATACTAACCCATCAATTGGTTACTAAATTGGAATTTTTTTTGTCTTAGAGGAGTGTTTTGATTTCATCATACAACACCAATACTAAGGCACCGCCAGTTCCTCTCAAAACGTTTGAGAAAGCTCCCTTGAAGAAAGCACCAGTTCCTTCTGTCTTCGCAATTACAGACCAACAGTGGAGAGTGCTCTTGTAAACGATTTCAGACTTAGCACGACCACTTTGCATCATCATACGCCTCCTGACTGTGTCGAAGGGATAGGAAACAACTCCAGCAACAGTTGTTACAGCCTATAAAAATTAATAAACGTTAATCAATAATAATTATAAATTGTTAAGATATATTTTTTTAACTCATAGATCTGTCACACTTTAATTTAAAAAATCGATCAAACATGAACTCATATCAAGATGTCGAAAAGTATGCATTTTGAATTTGTTATTCTGAATGAAATTATAGAAAGTTATGCTTTTTGAGCACCGTATATAGTCCATTGACAATTTAACTGATATGCAATTTATTTATGAATATTGAATAATTTAAATCTTATCAGGTGTGCCAATGTGATATTAAGTGAAATATTTCATTTACCTGAGCGATAGCCCACGATAAAAGGAATCCAGCAGATTTCGGGTCTGGCAACATTCCCTTAGCAGTGTCGAAGCAACCGAAGTATGATGCTCTGTAAATGATGATTCCTTGAACGGATACACCAAAACCTTTGTACAATCCAGAGATTCCGTCAGATTTGAAGACCTTGGACAAACAGTCTCCAAGACCGTTGAACTCCCGACCAGCTCCAGCTTTGCCGACATCAGCGGCTAATCTATTAAAATATTAAAGAGACAAATTGTAAAATAATATTTTTATGAACTTTTAGTAGTAATCACATTGTATTTTTATTTCTGAACATACCTGGTCCTAGCGAAGTCCAATGGGTATACAAAGCATAAAGAAGTGGCACCAGCTGCTCCACCTGATGCTAAATTACCGGCAAAATATCTCCAGAATTGTGTGTTCTTGTCTACACCACCCAAAAAGACTTGCTTGTATTTGTCCTTGAATGCAAAGTTCAAAGCTTGAGTCGGGAAGTACCTAATCACGTTGGCCATGTTTCCTCTCCAATAAGCTGTAACTCCCTGTTCCTTGGGGATACGTACAAAACAGTCCACCATACCTAATGGTTGATAAATAAATTGTATTAGTATTTACATAAATTAGAAGTATAGGCTCAAAGGTATTTTATACATTTTCCGTAAAAAATTTACCCACCAAAGTGAATTATAGATAAAAATTGTCCAAGAACATTCAGTTAAGTAAAATTATATTTTATTGTCAAACACAAAATACCTTTATATCTGTCTTCGACAGCAATTTGCTTGGAAATATGTTGTACTTGTAACAACAATTTGACACGTTCAATGGGAGCGACAGCTGTCTTAGATACGGCCGCGGAAACACCACCGGCTAAGAAATCCTTTGCGAAAGACATCGGGTCAGCTAAGGCAGGCATCATATGAGTTTCTTTCTTGTTCAAAGCCATTGTAATGTTAGTGTTAAACTGTTAGGTAAATAAATTTGATGGAAACTGACTCACGCAACGGAGAAGGTACTGACACGACTGACTCTGAGAGCGACGAAGCTAAGCTTATATCGTTGGGATTTTGGCCACCCGGCGTAATGCCAAGTCGCTTTGAGCCGCTATTATTGCGTTAGTTTTACATTGATATCATTATTGTGTAAAATCAAAAGTAAAAGTTTAAAAAAAAAATAAACCTAAAAAATTGTTTCTCAATAATAAAATTATTTTTATGTATAATATTGTATTATTTTGTACTTCAAAATAATGAAGGTACACTCATTTCATATTTTACATATTATAATTTAGTTTCCATTTTGAATTATTATATTTATTATTTCATATTAAATTAATTAAATATATATTTATATATAGTATAATATATTTAATTATAATAAATTGTGTATCAAGTCTTAATGTCAACCTAAAAGTTAGATACAAAACATATTCGTTGTGATATTCGAAACAACAATTCAACAAGGCGATTATAAGTATTTTGCAATATTTATCCAATGTTTCTGTTTAATATTAATTCTATACTATACTTATTTTATAAACAATAATATATTATTATATTGTTGAAATATTACCCGTTATTACAGAATTTGATAATTAATATCTAAAACATAGGTACTGTTTTCAATCAAATGTTAACTTTTATCTATTCCATTATGTTGTTATCAATTAGCCAAATCAAATAGTAAATTCAAACATTTCTCACATTAAAATCAATTAAAAACTTTGAAAGAAAACTTACAGCATGTGAAGTATATAATATAATATTTTCCTTCATATTATTTTAGTTGTTATCATATAAGGTTACAGAAAAAAAATTGCCCTTATTCTACGGATATTTCGCCATAATTTTTACTCTGAAATAATTCTGGCAATTAATTATTAGATTTTTTTTCACAAGGTCGTTAGGTGTGTCAAATGATTTGTCAGGGACTAAAATCGTGTTAGCTGCCAAACAATCATTCGTTTTGTTTCGACTGTAATAATTTAATCATTCTAGACCAAGTTCATCTGATCGACAGGTTATTATAAATTGTTGTTTTTAATATAAGTGTAACCTTTTTAATTTGTTGTTTTAAAATCCATTAAGTATCGGAATCAAATTAAAAAATGCGCATACTACAAGTTCAAACCCAGGTTTTCAATCAAGCTATTCCAGGATAATAATAAATACTCGAGCATTATAAACGTTCTAAGTAATATTGTTTTATATTTAAAATGTAATCATGAAAAAAAAATAACAACCCGAACCAATTGTTCAACGTTATTCGAATGATACCTTAGAATTTCACTACATAGGTACTACCTACCTACATAAATTACTAACTTCAACAATTTAGTAGGTACAATTCACTCAGAATAATTTTACAGTATGGTATTTATTTTTATGTAAGTATTTATTTTGTTAAGTTTTTAAGTATATATTTCATAAAAGTTTTTTCCCGCATGTATTAAAAATAAAAATAAATATTTTCATACAATTTAAAAAAATATTTAAACACTTCTTCAATATTTTTTTAAGACAACTAAATAAATAAAAGATTGCTTTAATAATTAATATGAGTGGATATAATAACCGAGTGGAAAAATTGTTCGCTTAAAATTTTCGTTACAAAATATATTTCTGGGGTATAAATCAAATATTGTATATATGCAATATCGAATGTACATATAACATATCAAATGGAAGATAGCTCGACACAAGATATCTAATTGTTCTTAATACTGTATACAATAATATCCTACGCTAATCATTAATATTCAACCAAAAATGTAAAATATTGATCATTTATCTTTTTAAATATTGTAATTTTTACCAGCTTAGTAGCTACCATTATTGTATAATTCTAATCGGAACGGTGCTATCTATTATTGGTAAATAGAGCAGGCGAATAGCCAGAATCAGATTTTAATGGTGTTTTGAAAAATGTTTTTGGCAGTTTTTTACTACAAACCATATGATAATATAATTTAGTTTTAGTTAACTTATTTTATATGCAAATATTTCCGAGTTATTTTTCAATGAACATTAGTCAGGTACTTAAGTAGGACGTTGGTACCTGTGTATTGTGTATTACAATGTTAAAATTATTTGTTGCGTTTATATAGGTATCATAAATAGAATATAAAGAATATATTTTTGGGTGGCAGTGGGTCAGTTAAAATAGGATGGATATAAAACTATTAGCATATGTACTTAATAAAAATTTACTACGACATAATGATATTAAATAGTCTTAACAACTATTGCTTTGTTTTAAATTCATTTAAACTTATTATAGTATTTGGTTTTGTTAATCATTAATTTATTCTTATACTATTTTAAAAGAAATCTGTCATCATGGAAATAACTAATTGAAAAATTACAACAATAATATATGTTGATTTTAAAAATGTAATTTCCGAAAACACCAATTGTGCGACAAAATAATGAGTTTAGGTAAATAGTATTATACATATAGAGCTATTGTTCAACATAAATAAAAAACTAAACAAATTAGAAAATTAGAAAATTTCAAATGCCTATAAAATCCTTAGTTAAGTTAAAATACAAGGTGTAACAGGTAGACCAGACAAAAAAAAACTAAAAAAAGATGATGCTACCTTAACGTAGAAAAATTTTTTTTAACATTTTATGTGTGGTAAATAATTTAAGAAATATACTCAATACTCATGTAAAAATATTGATATTTTAAAAAATTCTAAAAAATTAACTACTCGACTTAGATAAATGTTTTTACCATCAAAATTGTTCTTATAATCAGATTCACAAATTGGCTATTTTGAACTTATCCAAAAAAATTTTATATTAAAAAATTTAAAATTTAAAATTTTTTTTTATTATTATACGTCATGTAATGCAAGTGACTAATATAAATTACATATATGAAAACAATTCAAAATATTGATTTAACAAAAGTTATTATGTTAGTCAGTTCTTTCTGTTCCACCCAGTATTTTGAAAATTTCCCTGAGTATAAAAAATTAAGTTATAAGTTGTGGAATGCTTAAAGTTTCTATGAATAATTATTTTTGAAATGATTTGGAGTAAACATTGTTTTGAATAAAACAAACAATTTTATTAAATTTAAGTATCCAATTCCTATTCATCAGCATAAAACGAAAAAATACAATACTAATGTCTATGAATAGTCAAAAAAGAGTTTAAAAAAAGTGGGTAAGTGGGGACAGCTCTGTAGTATTATAGAGTAGGTGTGTAGAGGGCATAGATGATAATATAAGAATGGATAGGCCACCAGAACTTATCACACGGGAATGAACATTATGATATTTTGAGGTTACACTGGGACTTATCAGTCATCAAAATAATAATGAATAATCAGAATAGGTATTTATTAATTGAAAGTATATTACATTAGAATCTGTATAACTACATTATTTAATACACATTAATTACTCGTGACTGAAATGGATACGTTTTGTGAATTTAGCGCCCTGGAACGTATGGTTTGTTATCACTATAGATAATATCTTTTATCATTGTGAAATAAAATTGAAGATAAACCCCGTGCTCGAGTGAGAGCAATTTAAAAGCTGTCTACCTCTCATCCACATTCCGGACCTCAACCCAATACATTGTTAATACATGAATGGCCTATCCATTCTTATAGTATCTATTAGTGCTGAGCATTATTTTTACCAATCCGGATTACGGATTACAATTATTTAATCCGAATTTTGGATCAGTCCGTTTTATCCGGATTCACGGATTCAATCCGTAGATCCGGATTTCGGATTCAATCCGTAGATCCGGATTTCGGATTCAATCCGTAGATCCGGATTTTGGATTCAATCCGTTGATCCGGGATTTCGGATTCAATATTTCAATCCATTGATTCGGATTTCGGACCAATCCGGCTTCATTGTTATTGAGATAATCAGCTATTTTTTCATTATTATCAACCTAAATAATACAAATTACGATCTCAGATCTATTGATAATCGACTCAATGTCATAAGACCCTTAATAGCAAATACACCAGAGTTTTTCACAATTTATTATTAGACCTATTTAAATTTTTAATTAGGATTTAGAAAGTAGCAAGTTGGTATTTAGTATTTACTATTTTTATTAATAAAAAAGGAATTTTTATGTTTGTATATGTACGCAATTCATAGCCAAGTCTAACGCCATGTGGTTTTGAAATAAAAAGTCAAAGGTGTTTATTTTATTGATTTTTCTAATCAATTAATATTTTTTATGTTAGTATATATAAAGAACTGTAGAAATTCTGGCTCATTAGCACATAGTATTGTTATACATTATACATAATACATTTAATATTTATTACAACAGTCAACAACAAATAAAATAATAATAAATAATATATAAATTATAATTTAGCATTATGTGAAAGAAATATTAACCATTTGGCTGTTTCACCGGCTAGACAATTTCTTTTTGAAGTTATAATGTTTCCTGCAGTGGAAAAAGCTCTTTCAGACGGAGTAGATGTTGATGGTATACATAAATATTTTTTGGCAAGTTTTGAAATCATTGGGTATCTTTTACCATTTTCAGCCCACCATGTTAATGGACAAGCATTTTTGTTGATACAGTTTTCCTTTAAATATTTTTCAAGCTCATTTTGTTGATTTACATCTTCACCATTTTCATTTTGGGGAAATAAAATATCTAACGCAGATACCATAGAGTTTGACTGATTAATAGAATCATTAACTGAAGAATCTTCATAATTTAATTGATGCATAATAAAATCTTTTAAGGTAATTAAAATATCACTATCATCATCAAAAACATTTTTATAACGTGGGTCTAAAAGTGAAGCAATATTTAAAAGAAATATAGAATCACTGTGCATTTGACTAAAAAATCTTACTTTAAATTCTTGTGACAGTGTTTCTTTTAATATTTTAATTTTATGTAGGTCAGATTCGTTGGGAGTCAAATAGTGTTGAGCAATGCTTTTTAAGATAGGATGTACAATTGATATTGTTGGGGTTGTTGCAGATGATAAGACTTTAGTAACAAGATCGAAAGGCTTGAGCACTTTAACTAACTGCTCCAATAGCTCCCATTTACTTTCGCCGAGTTCCAGTGATATTGCTGTTGTTCTAGTTGTGGTATTACGATCATTTAAAACTATGCTTACACATTGCCGAGACTCAATAAGTCGTTCAACCATTGCATAAATTGAATTCCATCTAGTTTTAACAGACTGAATTAATTTTTTTTCTGGCATTTTTAATTTTTTCTGTGCTACTTGAAGTGCTTTGATTGCTACTGTTGAGTGTTTGAAGTGTGAAACAATTGAAGATGCAGTAATTAGAATTCGTTTTATTTCATTTTCTTCCAAGCCTTTGTTGACACATAACTGCAATGAATGAGCGAAACATGTCCTACTTTTAATGTTTGGAGCCATTGCAGTAACGGCATTCTTAATATTTACAGCATTGTCATGCACAATGCATATAGTTTTTGTATCAATTTCCCATTCTTTCATAATATCAACTAATTTGTCTTTTAAATTTATGCTGGTATGCCGCTCATCCATTAATTCAGTTGTAATAATATAATTGACTATTTTCCAGTTTTTAGTTATGCCATGTGCAGTAACACATATGTAAGACTCCATAGCTTTACTTGTCCAACAGTCAGTAGTTAGTGCTATTGAGTCTATGTTCTGTATTTCAGTGGCTACTTTATGTTTTTCTGTCTCATACAGTCCTTGAATTTTTCTTTTGATTGTAAACCGACTTGGTATTTCATAATTTGGTGATATCTTATTCATAAACTCAACAAATCCAACACCGTCCACTGTTGAGAGTGGTAGCATATCTTTGGCTATAAATTTTACAAGACTGTCTGTTATTTGCTCCTGTCGTTTGATTGATACAGATGGTGAAAAGAACATCTCTGTTATCTTTGGCTGCATTGATAGTCCTATGTTTCCAGATTCTGATACTTCTGTTGTAGATGTTGATGGTGAACAGCTAACTTCAGTATTTATACTCTTATTATCATAAATATCAGCTGTCTCAATTGATGGTGTCGAGCTATTTTGCAGATCATTATCATTGTCATCGTCATCGTCTTCTAATAATCTAAAAACATAATTCAGTTTTAAATTTAAATGTATAATAAAATATTTTGTAATGCAATGTAGTGTTTAAATATTTAATATTTATTAGAATGAATGCAATATTAATATATTATAATGTAATAGTAGTTTAAAATATATTTAATAACTATTTAAGTTTATTATTAAATTTGAATGCATACAAATTACAAAGTATAACTTATATACCTAATATGTTGAATACATTAAAATAATTTATGGGCCATATTGGTAATATCAATACAACCTAATAAAATAGTTACCTTTTTTTTGGTTTATCATGAGAAAGTCCATCACTTATATTGTGTTTGGTTCGCATGTGATTCCATAATGTGCCTGGTATACAAGTACAAATACAAATTATTCACAATTACAAGTAGGCATTTAAAATAATAATGTCTATATGTCTATATATGACTATAATAAGTGATATAATAAGTGAATAAGTATTTGAAAAACTGCCCTGATAAATATAAACCAGTGATGATTTTTTTTTGTAAAATTTCAAGTTCAAACCGACCCCTGTTAAAAAAATGTGAGCCAGAAATTTGCATTATTTTTAAATTTATTCAAGGTAACCATGCATTTTGAAATGCATATTGATGTAAACCAAAATCAATTTGGGGGCCCCATAATTTTAATTGCACTGGTTCATGGAAAGCCTGTGGTCGCCACTGACTCGATGATTTAACTTAATTAGTAAATAGGTAGTTGCTTTTATTTAATATTTATAAAAAAAAATTAATTGAGCAATTTTTTCAAAACAAATGTATTTTTTGTATTAGGTAATCAATTTATGTTATTTATGTATATTATGTATAAGTTAAGAGTTTAAAAAAATGTCAAAATTGATCATTTAAAAGCAATAAACAATAATTAATTAACTTAAAAATAGGTGCAACGTGCAAATGGTAATTAATATTTATTAAATGAAATAATTAAAAGTCATATACCTATTATAGATATTTAAAATATTGTTTTAGATTTCTAGAATAAAATCTTTTCATTTTTATTATACCTATTACATATTATTATGTTATTAACTTATTATAGTTTACCTGTACTGCCTGAAGTTTTGAATGATTTTCCACAGGCATTGCAAAATACTAAGTGTTTGTTATGTTCTTCATTACCTTTGGTAAAACTTGTCCAAATCTGAGACATTTTTTATAGGTAAAGGGTAAACTATCAACAGTTTAGTAACAAAATATAAATGATATAATATAAATTACGATAGGATACGTCGATATGTAATACGTATTACGACTATTACGTACTAAGTAGTAAGTACTAATGTAATGACAAAATACTGAGCTGTAACTTGTAAGAAGTAACTAGACTATCGAGTACAGACTACAACAAACTACAGAGTACAGACTACAGAACAGTGATTACTGAAAATAAATAAAATTGTCTCATGCCTGTTATTAAATATTAATAAAAGTACAATTGACATCTGATAATACGTTGTAGAACGCAACACAATATTTATTTATAGCACTTCTGAACAATAACAATACACGCTACACGCGATATAATCATGAAGAGAAGATAACAAGATTAAATACTTGAAATTTTTATATAAGTGTTATTTATAATTTATATATACACTATCATAATCCGGATTGGTATTTTAATCCGGATTAAACGGATTGTTACTTTTGTTTCAATCCGGATCAATCCGGATCGGTAATCCGGATATGGATTAATCCGGATTTTGTGCTCAGCACTAGTATCTATGGTAGAGGGATCACTGTAATGGATATGTCAAATTTTAATTTAATGATACAAAATCATTGTATAAGAAAAACGATTCTGAGCGAATACGTTCTGTCAGCCAATATAACTAAGTATAATTTATAATGTTATTGTTATTAAAGTAATTTATTTTACTAAATATAGTAGGTTGAATTAATTTATTCCCAAAACATTCATTTGAAAATTTCATTGTGTGTATAAAATATTATAACATACTTAAAAACGTTCAGTAGCCAACAACTTTTAAATTACAACAAAATAGGTAAGTAACTAAAATCGATTTGTTTCAATATCTAATTTCAGCCAAATTTGTTTTATTTATCTAGTAATTGTAGAATTTGTAAAGTATTATGTTTTACAATAACCAAAAGTGATGTTGTGGTTTTATAAGAAATATTTGAAAAAATAGAACTAAATAATATAAATTAAATTTACAAAATTTCTGTCAGCGGGCTTGTGTGAAGTTTAACATTTTATGAATGTTTAACGACAAAATAATTATATTATTTTATAATGGACAATGGTATTATAATATAGCGTAACTTATAAAGCCGAAACGGTAACATAATCACACATCTTTATTCTCAACTTATATTATGTAAATCGAATCACTAAACCCACATTTAATCTGCAGTATAAAACATAATGTATTGTGTTTAAAACATTAATCCCTGTGAAATTTACCTTCATAATAATTTTCTGGACTATTAAATACAAAATATTGTATTCGAAAAATTATTGAATAAGCAACAACAATCTATTAAAAATTAGATGAACAATCAGCACATTTAATTTAAATCTAATTTACAGATCTTAGACTCTTACAAATAGTACAAATAGAACGACAGGCTTTTGTTATTTAATCGCAATAAATTTGATATTATTATAGAATATAAATATAAAATATGAAGGTTATAATAATAGACAATTTTTTTATAATGTTAACATATTGCGTTTAATATGAAATTTATTTTGAAATTCAGGAGCTAATATTATACCTCTAAATGTACACTAAAAACGACATAATTTAATGCTTTCAAAAGCTGCGAAGGCGCTACAATATCCATTCTGGTTTCAATATTATAAGATTTTTTAAAAATAATCTCTGTGCATTTACTATAAATATGTTTTTGTAGATTAATCGAATATCTATTAGCATTTAAAACATTATCCAATAAATGCTTCAATTAAGTTTTGAGAACTTTAGAGAAGACAGTCATTACTTGCAATTCATTAATCAGGTATTATTTTTATAAAAAAACAGGGAACTCCTGGGAAGGTCTAAGTGGTATCAGACAGAAACCTCTCCTTATATTATGACGTATATGGCAGGAGGTAGCTAAGTCTGTTTTTTGTTGTATGTTAGGGATTTAAGCATAATAATATCATGTCCGAGTTTCCGTTATAACCGTTTATCTATTAATTTTTTCACCAATATAGTAGACTCCACCCAAATTAGAAGTATTGGTGCGAGTGTGTGATTTCTTCATTGAGAAACTGATTTATAATGGTGCCTACACATCCTTGCATATAAGTAACTGACATTAATGCTTTAATTTAGTATTATAGATAGGTATACAAATAGTTTGTTATGTATAATTAAAATATAATGTAGTATCATTTATTTATCAATTTAATAATATTATTACAACTAGAATTAGGTTTATTTTTGGCACTCATCATTTTTCATTTTTATCATTCAGGCATTGGTCCATGTGCATTTGATGAACGGCATCATAATCACACACACTATTTTCCCCTATTTAACTGTTAGCAGAGGAGGCTCTATTTGAACAATACTGCTTCTCTGCTGCTATCGTTTGAATCACACACATTTACCCATACCCGTTGAACAAGTTTACCTTTTATAGTATAGTATATGTATATTTTATTTGTATAGAATAACTGTATTAATAGTATACGCCTATGTGGATGGCTATGTATGAAATATGAATGTGTGTGACGTGCTGAGTGTTATCGATAAAGAATAAGACATCGACATGTGACAGCTTAAAAAATACACGGAAACAAGTGTCATCCCAAACACTGATGATATATTAATGAACAATATATAATATGATACGAAATATTGTAGAGTTATTTTTATATTTATAAAAAATATTGCTCATACTATTATTTACCAATATCCTCTAGTAGGCTCTAATAGCTATAAGACAATACCTAGCTTATTAGTAGTTATTAATATTTATTACACAATGTTATACGTCCACATAATAATGGTGGGACACACATGCCCTCCCCTCCCCTCCATATAAATACACCTTTGTGACTATCATTTACTGCTCTACCTCAACAAGAATAATATGTACAAGGGTTCTGAATAGCAATGAAAGCTAAAAAAATTACCTTATCAATACTACTCGTAAAAGGTCAGTTCCTAATCGTCTCACGTCGTCTTCTAGCTAGCTTTGTTTATACAGTACTGTTTACATATAGCGTTGTGTAGGACTCTGACATGGCATAAAAAATAAATTCGATAGATTCACGGTAAGTATGAACTTATTATATTGTTAAAAATTATAACGAATTTGATTAATGTAAAATAACAATTCGTAATCATCCTGTACTTACCGCTGTATTAACTATGCTGTCGACATTATTGTAAGCACAATTTTTTAGATAGATATGTCGATAGTTATCATTTATCAAGTAATTGTAAGTGATCATACTTGTGACATTGAACTAAAAAAATATTTGATTAACCTGTCGACTGTCGCACATACATTTTCTACATACACAATATGTTTTAGGTTCCTATATAAAAAATATAAAAAATTTATATTTAAAAATAAATATAATGAATTAGTGAAAAAATACCATATATAGAACGATTTAGTAAATATTTGTATGAAAATACAAATTATGACAGTTTTAGTAAATCATTATATATTTTTTTCGCCCTGTATTAAAATTACCTTAGCTCGTTATCGATGAGATAAGCGTTTTTTCTATCATTACAAATTGGCTGTATTTTATTGATTATTGATATGATACTAATTTGATATGCACGTTCAAAAATATAAATTTTAAATGAACATCAATAATAATTTATTTATTGAAGTAGGTACATGTAATATGTGGTAATTATAAATAATCATAGGTTGGCATAATCTAAATACGTATAATATACGTATATAGTTGTAAAAAAACGTTGTTAAATAATATAGTAGGTACTGTCGTATTGCCTATAATAGGTAAATTGTACAATGCGAAATAAAATGAAATAATAAAATAGCATTGTAAACTATATTAGTGTGTATAACTTGTGCAGCACTTCAAAATATTTAGTGATACTGTGATCACACATTCTAATTTCCAATGTATTTACATATTTATAGAAATGTGATATTAAATAAATACAAGTAACAAAAATAAATCACGATGTATTAATAATACATATTTACAACACTTTAACACACTTAACACACTATATTATAATTTATATAGTATGCACCGATGTGTGAAAAAAAGTCAAGCGAAACATATTTTTCCGCAACACATAAAAATATAAAATAGAGAATGTGCTAAAAAGGACGTCGAAACTATAGGTAGGATGTTGTTACAATTTGTATTTTAAACATAGGTAAGTATCATGTTTTTGTACTTCCTTAATATTATTGTAAATGTTTACTCAATAGATGAATAGACAATAATAAGGTATACCTCCAAATATTAATAAAACAATACAAAGTAAAAATACAGTGCTGCATCAAATACAATTTGATAGAATTTTTTTTATTAATAATCTGCAACACTGTATATTTATATATATAGGACCCCCACAAGGGAGGGGGGTTGTTTCACCTGGAGTACAGAGCTCCTTCTATTTTCGGAGCCCGTGGAAATTAATTTGTAATTTAGGTACATTTTTCCAGCCCCACCCATTTAAAATTCTCCAAATTTTTCTAGACCAATATGTAGCAAGTGATTTGCATGTATTTTTATGACCGTAAGATTTAATTTTCTTATTTTTTATACAAACATTGTTGCTACATTTTACCCATTTTATTGATGTTTACCGATGAATTGTTATAGCTACTTATTTTTTTAATAAAGACAAATATGATCAATAAGTATATAAAGATAGAACTTTGTTATCTTAATACCAAGTAAAACCAATGAACCTAATTATTTCCAAGTATAATATATATTTTTATTATTAAGTATAATAAAATGAAAATATTTCATCGTTATTAAACCAAAAAGTTCTGTATATTCTGTATAATAATACTTATTAATAAATAGACTGACAAGTGACAGGTCTCTGTTCAGAATCTTTTTTCGTCGTATAAAATCATTGAAAATTAAATTAAAATTTAGTCTATCTATTATTACCGTGACTTGCAGGTAACCTAGTGCCTAGTGGTATACTCAAGCACCTTCTATTAAACAATAATAAATTAATGGTTTTTTTTCTACTGAATAAAAAAAAATGTGAAAAATGCTAATATAAACATTTGGTGAACATTTCATGTGTCTACGATGATTCGTTTTTGAATTGCATCAAAATATCAAGACATCAAAAATTGATGAATGGGAATTCACTATCGGTGGATTGAATATTCCAATATCGTACATGTACATCGTACTTAAACTCTCTTAAAATATTATTGTGGATGTACGCTCAACTTTATTTTTTAATTACACTATTACCAACTTATGTGAAATACTTACATTTCCAAGTTTTTTGACTGAGCAACAAATGATTAACCTACTTTAATTGAATAAAAATTAATAATTCATCATGTATATATATATATATCAAAAATAGTCAAAATATTTCGAAAATCAGTATCAACTATGGAAAATTGTTATATCAACATCTGGTGAAAATTTAAAATAGGTATTTACGGTAATTATTTAAGTGACCAAAATAAAATCAATTTTATCAAAAATTGTTTTTGATTAAAAATTCCGATTTTTGTAAATTTTTGTTTTGTTTTCCCGACGCTTTCGAAAACTACTTGGAGTTTTTAATTTTAAAATCTTCAATGTACCAACTAGATTCACTATATCACAAAATATGCTGAAATCGAAAATGTTTAGGTTTTTATATTTCATCATAATTTGAAACATATTTGCATTTCATGAGGACTCTGTAATTTAAAAATGTGTGAAGGTGTGTTTGACAAAAATTTTTTTTTAGATAATTTCTTAAAAAAAAAAAGTCCGACTAAACGGAACAAAAGTCAGGAAAAAAAATAATTTTAAAATATTTTAATAATTGAATTTTCCAAGTAAACTGTTACTTTAAAAATGTTGGAAACAGTCGTACAAATATATGCAAATCACGTGCTAAATATTGGAATAGAAAAATTAGGAAAATTTAAAATGGATAGGATTGGGGAAATGTACTATGTACTTCAAAAAAATTTAGTAAAGGGATTCAAAATTTGATGAGGGGGGGCCTTCCTCGCCCTAATGATTTGAAAGAAAAAATATTCTGAAGCAAAATTGTTTGTTAATGTAAAATTACAATATTAGAATCATTGTCCACCAAGAACGAAGATACCTAGTACTATCTTAGTTTGTGCACCCCAGAATGATGCTTATAATAGTATGTTACATTATAAGACATACATGTCATTTGAAATATAGTAATATTAGGATCTGTAGAATTATTAAAAAAATTGGGAAATAATATTCTGGTGTGCTGGGCCCCTAGGACCCCCCCCCCCCCCCCCCGAATCCGTCCCTGTAATAATATTTGTAGAACAACAAAAAACATAATTACTATTATTTATTAATGCAAAATTTAGAAACACAAATATCCTATCTTTTTTAAAATTACTCATTTAATAGATTATATTCATTGGGTACATTTTTACTGACTGAGGTGGGTTAGGTTTTTTATTTAATTTTTAATAGTAAAACTCCCGCAAAAAAATATGGTTGAATAAGTAATTGTATTCTTTCGAAGTTTCGAACGCAGCTACACAGTACTTACATATTATAATTTATATATTATACTACCTACCTATGTAAAACCAGTTTGAAATGCTAACGAATAACCACATTTTTTTTTCAATTCAAACATTCTTTTTTATCATACCTATTTATTGCATACGTATGTTTATGGCTTATGTCCTCATGATTTGTGTACTTACTAGACGACGATGTTTTGTTAGTTTATCAATCAAGTATTCTTATGCAATTTTATTTAAACTATTTTTCGATACCTACGTGTGTGTATTACATAAATTTCGTTAATTATTAAAAAACTAATAAATAATAATAAGTAAAGCAAAAATGTTAGGTAGGTACTTTGAACCTATGTAGGGATTACGTTTTACTACACAGTTGAATAGTTGTGTCTACCTACAAACTACTATTAGATACTACCTACGTTTTACATGTCTAAAAAATAACTTATCATACATTTTTAAAATAAATCAACTAGAGAAGTATATTATGTACTGAAACTTGTAAGAATATAAGCAATCAACTCCTCATTTAATAATTGATCTATATAATTTTACTTTATATTTTTGATGTTAATATATGTTGTGTATGCTATTGTTTTTGATTTAAGTTAGAACAAAATTTGTCAACTTAAAAGATGAATAATAAAAGTAGTGGGTAACTAGTAGATAAAACAATTAGTAGTTAATAATACATACTATATTGAAATTATATGAATACTAAAAATGCACTCAAACAAAAAACACTTGAAGTTATAAAAGGTAAAAGTGAGCATATTATTATAGCTACTATGAATCTTACATTATTATAGATTATGATTATACTGACTAGAGAGTAGAGGTGTTACAGTTTGATAACTAAAAGTTCTAGAATATAATATTTTTATTTAATTTGCTATTAGCAATAGACAATTCAAAAAAAGAAACTAAGATATTTCCAATTTAAAAATATATAGTACAACTATATCGAGTGTATTCAATACAATAATCGAATAAAGTACTCTAAGAGTTTTAAGTAGCCAACGAAACGAATAATATTTTTCAATTGACAATTACAACAACTTAAAAAAAATCACGATAATGTGTAAATTATTTTGTTAGAAATTCATGAAAATTTTTTATTTATATCTTAGACTTGAAAATTTAATGCGTGATCCCCCATAAGTTTTAATAACTTAAAATTTAGACGAAATTTGATATTATTACTAAGAATAACTATTTTAGTTATTTCATTCTAAATTAAACATATAATTACAATATAGGCTGACTAACAGACCGTCTGCGCTCAGAATCGTTTTTCGTATACAATGATATTATATCATTGAGTTCAAAATTTAATACCATCCATAAAAATATCCACGTTTGTTGCAATTCGGTTTTGATAATAGTAGAAACACTGGAAACCCATCTGGTTCCGGACGTTAAATTTAGCATAATATTCGTTAAAGCCTATCAAGGTTTGTAAGTTTTGTGTCTACCATCATAGGATAAGGCATTTTTGTCTCAAACTACTTCAATATATTATTTTTATTAATTTATTAATTTAGTTATGTAATATAATATAATGTGCCTACATTTATATTCAAATTGTAAGTGCTGTAACTCTGTAAGTATAAATAATTGCCTTTATAAGTTCGATAATTATTATTTACAATAAAAATACAACTATAGTTATCGTGTAATATAATAGGAAAAGGGACTCGTTTGAATGCAATCTTTTAGAATGTCAATACAGTTACAGTTGTTTCAATGATATGTAAATATCAATCAATAAAAATGTTAAAAATTCGCTTAATCTTTGAATGTCGGTAATCATATGACGTCAGGAATAAATTAAAACTCATTTTGTTCGAAAACGTATTATCTTCCTATAATTTGGAGATACACTTACCGGACCTACACATGCAGTTCGTAACGTAACAACTGAACCCATAAGTATATTGTAACTAATGCTTGGTATCTAAATAAAAAAAAGAAAGCACTACTTTTTTTTGAAACTTCTAACTTGATTTTTAATATTAATAATAGCTGGTAATTCGAGCATAACACCCACGACACACCCATATAATAATATAGGTAGGTATAAGGCTTAACAAAGGACACAAAGATACAAAATAGTACGTTATAAAGATTCGTTTCATGTTTATGAATTATGACGTAGATTTATTGACTTGTAATTTTGTATGACGTACAGAAAAACTGCAGAAACATAAATTTGAAATAATTATAATTTACGTTGACGTAACAAGGACAATAAAGTGGGCTTTATTATATTATACTGTTTTATATAATTGCATAGATACTTGAACATTATATGAATAACATCAGATCGGAAGCTATAAGACGTAAAATATGAAAATGGATCAAGTTTAATATTAGAAAGCAGGATACTATAAACAATTTAAAAATTTGGAAATAAAATTCACATGTGTTCTTTTACATCGATATAACAGAGATATAACAGAGATATAACAGAGAAGTTATAGTATTTAATAGCTATTAATTATTATAGGTCTATATACGTACCTTTATTATAAATTGGACAATAAGTAGCAGTTAGAGTTACGTTATTTTAGAAGAGCCACCATGGTGTCAGTGTACAGTGGTGCGACTAAGGCTAAAATGTTAGTAGCCCTCAGTTGATATTACAATAAAAGTAACTAGTGGGGGCGTGGCCCCTACACCCCCTAAATATTAACTTGAAAATATAAATAATCATATAAAACAAAACAAATATTATACTGTTTGTATATTATCGTTCAGTGTCAAGTCATTACTGTAAAATTATGTATTATAATCGTACCAATATACTGGCATAAATCGTTTTCTTAAAAACAAATATAGGCGTACAACTAATGATATTTACCATATTTACCGTAGGCAGTACAAAATAACTATACATTTTTAATAAAAGTGATATAATTAAATATTTTCCAAAAAAAATAATAAGAATTTTAGTTTAATTTTAATATTAATATTTTAAGAAACAATTCGTTACCCTAACAGCAACAACACGTATCTGCAAATTTTTTTTTTTTTTTTTATGTTATCAAAATATTTAGAATCTCTTTGCGCACATGTTTCATTGACCATTTTTCCCGTAAACAAACTGATAACCTCAAAAAATAGATTTTAGTGACAACACGTATCTGAATTTGATATGTGATAACACGTATGTACAAGATTTACAGTAGTGTTTTGTGTTACGGACGTTTGACAGTTGCCGTCTACTTAAACACCAGGTAATTATTATTTAAGTTATTTTAAAGTCATAAATGATCATTTATTTACTATAAAATCAATCAAACATAACATTTAAAGGAAGATCTACGTTAATAATTGACATTTTGTTTGTGTTTTCACATACGTGCTGTTACAGATTTAGACATTTTCAAATAGTGTCAGTTACGTGATATTTCCGTTGGAATTTGATCAATGCTGATTTCTTAAAAAGTAAGTTAATATTCTATACTTAAATTATTAATGTGTAATTTGTAAAGATATAACATCAATATCTATATTTTAATTAAATGATTAAATAGTGTACTAATTAACAAGAGTATTATAATAATATATTATGATACAACAAAATTATTATGATAGAATAAAAATATTAAAAATGTGAAGAAATTTATCAATTTGATACTCAGTATTCAAAAGATTTTTGTGTGCTTAGTGTTTTATGTATTTTGTATAGGTTATTATGTTATTTCATTGGTTTTTTTTTATAGTTGAAATGGCAAAACAACGGCTCAATCATATTTTGAACTTGGCTCTTCTAAACTCTAATGAGGAACAAGAACGTCCTGACTCACCTCAATTTAACAAAGAAAATGATATAACTAACATAATTTTAAATGCAGATGTTGTGTTTTCAAACTCTTATGAGGAATTAGATAGACCTTCAACAAGTCACAATACACCTGTTAATGAAACTATTAACCTTGATAATACTTTAAATAACGAATATAATTTGTTGGAGTATAATATAGAATCATTTGAAAAAATATCAGATTTAGAAGATACTAATAATATGAATTTAAAAATTAATGAGTTAGTTAATCCTTATTCATTTGATTTAAAAAACCACAATTCAGATAATATTATGATGGTGGCGAGTAATGAAAGTAAAGTTATTGTTAATGCTATAAGCCCAGAAGAAGTTGATTTATCTGATTGTGAAAGTGTTGTTGGTAATAAAAGAAAACGAAGTACAAAAAAAGAAATATTTAAATGGAAACGTGAAGTCAGTAAAAAAAAAAGAATGCATGGAGAGTGTTACATGGGTTACAGTCGAAATGGTAAAATTGTTGAACATAACAAAATAAGAAGTGAAAGAACTATGAAACCAAGATGTAGTTCTAAAAAATGCATCAACTCAAGATATTGTCAACAATTTAATGAAGAAATGAGAAGTGATATATTTAAAACTTATTGGTCTGCTACCTGGGAGGAGAAAAATACGTATGTAACAAGTATGGTAACATATACATTACGTAAAAGAGATACAACTGGGCTTGGCAATGAAAGCAGGAGGTCTTATACATTCAGTTACTTTTTAAAACACAATTCATCTGAACGTCTTCAAGTTTGTAAAATAATGTTCTTAAATACTCTCGGATTAAACGAATGGATGGTTCAAAATTGGACAAAACAAGCAACTCATGGATTACCAGGAAAAATTAAAAAAGGAAAGATACAAGAATCATGCAGCATTGTTGAAATTTCACCACGCCAAAAAAAATCTTTAGCAGTAAGAATTAATCACTTAAAGAACTGGTTCTCTACATTGCCAAAAATGCCATCGCATTATTGTAGAAATAAGACTGACAGATTGTACCTTGAAGGACCGTTCTACTGCAAGCAAGAAATTATGGATGCTTACAAATTAAAATGTGTTGAAGATAGTTTGGTTCCATTAAGCAACTGTTATTTATCAAACTTCATGGTTGAAAATAAACTCTCAATTTATCTCCCACGAAAAGATAAATGTGATTTTTGTACCTCTTTTAATATTGGCGAAGTCAACGAAAATGATTATGCTGAACACATTGCCCATAAAGATAGGGCAAGAGAAGAAAAAGAAAAGGATACAAAACTGGCCAAAGAAAAAAAATCTTGTACTGTACTTACAATTGATTGTCAGGCAGTAAAACTTTGTCCTGTACTGCAAACAAGTGCATTGTACTATTCGATGAAACTAAAAGTTCATAATATGACAATTTATAATAATGCAACTGCAGATTGTCAAAATTACTGGTGGCATGAAGGTAATGGTGAACTAGAGGCTTCAGTTTTTGTATCTATAGTTATAAAACACTTGGAAAAATATTGTTTGAGTGAAAAAAAACCCATTATCATATACTCTGATGGGTGTGGGTATCAAAATCGAAATGTGATTATGGCAAATGCATTATTACATTTTGCAGTTAAACATGAAGTAACTATTGAGCAAAAGTATCTTGTTAAAGGGCATACCCAAATGCAGTGTGACAGTGTTCACAGCCTTATCGAGAGAAAACTTAAAGGACAAGATATACACTTGCCTTCAGATTATATTAGAATAACCAAAGCAGCAAGAAAAACTCCTTCACAACTAGGAGCTACATTGTTAAATTATGACTTTTTTTTAAATTTTAAAACACATCAAACCTATGCATCTATTAGGCCTGGTCGCACAAAAGGGGATCCTGAAGTGAAGGATATTAGATGCTTACTTTATAATCCAACTACAAAGAGAATTATGTACAAATTAATATTTGATGAACCTTATGACGATATACCTGTTGGAAGAAAACCAGTATTAATGCAAAATGAAATAAAATATGAAAACCTCTATAAAAAACCATTAAGTATTACTTTATCAAAATATCAAGATCTTCAAAAACTCAAACAATTTCTTCCAGCAGACACACATTCATTTTATGACAGTTTAGAGCATGCTTCATCTTTCAAAACTAAGAAGGGTAAAATTTAATATTTATTGTTATTTTGTATGATTTTTATTTTATATAGAACCAAAAGCCTGGTTATTAAATTGTTTAGTGCAGTTTGTATTGTTATACTAATTTTTTTTTATCAATTTATAATTATATTAATATTGTTATTTTATATGAAACCAAAAGACTGGTTAAAAAATTGTTGTAGTGCAATTTGTATTGTTATAATGTTTTTTTTATCACTTTATAGTATGTTAATTGTTATTTTATATGAAACCAAAAGACTGGTTAAAAAATTGTTGTAGTGCAATTTGTATTGTTATAATGTTTTTTTTATCACTTTATAGTATGTTAATTGTTATTTTATATGAAACCAAAAGACTGGTTAAAAAATTGTTGTAGTGCAATTTGTATTGTTATAATGTTTTTTTTATCACTTTATAGTATGTTAATTGTTATTTTATATGAAACCAAAAGACTGGTTATTAAATTGTTTAGTACAATTTGTACTAATTTTTTTTTATCTTTTTATAATTATATTAATATTATTATTTTGTATGATTATTATTTTATATGAAACCAAAAGACTGGTTATTAAATTGTTTTAGTGCAATTTGTATTGTTTTAATTATTTTTTTTATCACTTTAAACTTTAAAGTATGTTAATTGTTATTTTGTTTAATTATTATTTTATATGAAACCAAAAGACTGGTTATTAAATTGTTATTTAATTGTATTATAATATAAAATCAAAAAACTGGGAAAATAAAAAAATAATGTTTTTATAACATGCTGTTATTATTTAAATTATTAAATATCCACCCACTAATTGAAATTATTAGAACTTATTGCTCTTATTAATGTGTTATATATTTTGATTAAATATTTAACTTGAAAATCAAATTTAATACATTTTATTCAACAAAAAAAGGTAATTCATTATTAATTTAAATAATTAATACAATTCAGTTACGTGCTGTTATACCCTCAAATTGATGTATCAACAACACGTATCTACTAGTAACAATTACACGTAACTGAAAATAAGTTGTCAATAACTCGTATCTACACTAAATAATCTAATAACAATAATAAATTAGTGTTTGTTATGTAAACATTTATAAGTATAACTTAAAAACTTAATTCAGTATCAAAAGTTGCTAACATTTTTAAACTTTCAAAATTAAACAGTTTTTTGGTCTTCCTGTAAAATTGTACTTTTGGAGATACGTGTTGTCGCTGTTAAGGTAACGAATTGAATAATTTATTTTGGCTCCCTCAGCTCCTCTAGTTACGCTTGTCGCTTATACATTATTTATAATTGGCATCATTTATACCTAACTTTTGTACATGGGGTATTGAGCTGCCTAGGAACGATTCCATACATCCATAGAAAAGTGCCATACAACTTTAAGTACCAATATTTTAATATAGATATACTTCACGTCTGCACAGCATACCTCTATATAACGCTAAACGGTTTTAGACATAGGTACATCTATTATAGCTTCATTAATTAGGTCCTTGCAGAAGATCGTCTGGATAATAACAAAACCAAAGAAGTTCAAGAATTTAGTAGACTTTGAATATGTTTAAATCTATTTGTATATTTAGAAAAGCTTAAATGACGAATCTTAAGATCAAGAACTGATTTTAGTATTTTACTGTCTCACGAGACGTCGAGACGTGACTAACGGTGTAGGTATAAACCTATAATGTTTAGCTAAGTGGCAAGAAGCATCTATAATCCCTATTTGTTTTTTTGGTTTGATACATTTTTTTGCCTATTCATTTCAATACAAAGTATTTATTTCCAAGTAAAAAAATATGATAACATTTTTGAAATATTTCGGCACTTAAAAAAAATGTTGGAGACTTGGAGTCAAGCCACCTGGCCCTAATATTAGATCTGTTGATGAGTTTTTACTGGCGGATGTTCGCCATTTAGGTTCCGTTAAACCACTGACCATCCATTGCAACAACGTTTTTGGCAAATAATAAAAAATAATAAAGAAGAAATACGTTGTCCGTCACTTCCATTGCTGTGCGTTGATAAAAATATTGCTTTGAGTACGTTCCGCAGCCCCGGAGACGTAATGATAGCAACGGCATCTAGCGGATGGCGTGAATGTGTAACCGCCTCCTATTCGCAGATGTCATTCGTATAGCGCGCGCGCACTCGCATCACTACCGAAACTGGTCGACCGCAGCCGAGGACTTACGAACATCCCCTTGAGCTCCAGCACTCCGAGCCCCGAAGAACTGATCACCCTTGCACAAACGACACCACCGTCCGGCGACCACCACCAACCGCAACCACCTTTCGAAAAGCACAATTTCACCCCGCCGGGTCGATCGCGTCGACGTTATACTATTACTATTATCATCGTCATTACAATAGGTAATATATAATAACATAATATCACAATTCACAGATTACCCATATGAAATAGTATACAATATTATATTCTTATATATATTTTATATATTATGTTAAATTATCATGAGCCTTATGATATTATTATCTCCTTGCACGGTATAACAACGTGAACAACACACTATAATTCTACATGTCCGCATAAGTTATTTCGTTTGGTCGGACATTGTTATTGTTGCGATTTTGTTTATATTTTTATTTCCATAGCTCCGTTGTTTTGGTCGTTTATGCGTATGCGCGTCTGTCTTTGGTCGAATTTTGACGACGTACTAGTGTAATACTGTAACATTGCAGTACAGCCGCCGCCGACTACGGCACAAAACGCGACCCGACGACAACGACCGTCATCGCTGCCACCACCGTCGCAGCGGACCGGTCGTCACTCGTGAGTCGTGACTCGTCAGTCAGTCGGCCGGCGCAGTCCACGCGCAGTACACTGCACGCGTTTTTGTTTATACCGCGACGACGATTAACTCTTTTCCTCACTCACTCACTCTCTCTCACTCTCATACACTCTCTCCATTCTTTATATCGCTGATTCTCACGTTTTTTTTTTTGCTGCGGTCCATTCTTGGATCCCGGTCTTACGTGTCTTTCCATTTTGTTGATAAAAATATCATCGTCTTATCGATTTTATTGTATTTTCTAAAAGTGCTGACTATATAACATTATATTGTCAAAGTATTTTTTTAATTATTTACATACATAATAGTTTGGTTTTTATTTCATTAACTACTTACCTGTAACTAGTATCTATCTACGTACCATCATCGGAGCCAACAAATTTCGTTTCGGGGTACGTAACCGATACAATATCTAACAAAATATAATATAAATATCATTAAGCTTTCCCATTCATGTATGTTTGCTTTTTATCACCTTACTATCATTCCCCGTATGCCTATAATGAAATTAGATGTCATCCCCGCCAAATCACAAAACTAGGTACCGTATCATGCTGATTATTCTGCATTTAAGCATATTACATTATTTTTTATCGTTTAACAACTCAATTTTATAATATAATTTGCGGGAGGAGATATTCGGGAGGTTGTTAATAAAGAAGAGTTAGGCTCCCCATGACCAAAGTTTCCCCTTATCGACATTGATCCTATTAAAAAAAAAATAGATTTTCGCACTCTCGAGTATCGATTAACAATATCTATTCAGTTCCTAAATTAAAAGAGTTCTGATTTTTTTACTTCAGTCAAACGTCAACTATTTATTGGTTTAAATATTTATTTATATGATTTATCATCTATAATGTGCACTATAAGTCACGATTAAACCAGATTATACGAACGCGTTTATATAACATACATCGCATGGCACATGACACAATATGTTGCTCTAATCAATGAAATATAATAATATGACAAAAATGAAAGTAAAAGTGTTAGTAAATTATTTTACTACAGAAGATACTGGTAAGAGTGTTAGTTATTGTTTTAATTTCGTACGTCTATTTTGAGTACCTACCTACATACTATGTACGTAGATCCAGTAGCGTATCCGGGTAATGAACTAAGGAGGCGAAAGAATTTATCATTCAAAATAAAAACCCTCGGCTCTCCCACGAAATTACACCACAGTGAAGATCGATAGCAACACGTTAAAAGGTATGCGGTACACTGTGAATGAAAACCGTTTTTTTGTCTTCAATGTGCCGCATTCCAATATTATTATGTCCTACCTGCGACGCGTTTACAATGTTTTAATACATATTATTCCTACATGTTATGTCTTGTACGAATTCCTATAGTATTCAATAATTATTTATTGTTTTGTTTGTTAAGGCCTAGAGGCCTAGACAATGAAAACTTAAATTTTTAAATGACTTATACTTTTATTTATTAATAGGTAATTATAGTAGTTAAGTGTTTTGAAGTTAATTTTTTTACGAATTTGTATATTATTATTTATTGTATTTTATATTGTAATGTGCTTAAATAATGTTTGTAGGTATAAAGTAAAAACCTTACCCAGATAGCACATTGAAACCCTAAGGATGTAGCCTGGGTAAATTTATTTTTTCATTGCAATGACTTTCTAAGTAAACATTCGACTATTTTATTTGTATATTCCAAATTTGTGAATAGCGAATGTTATAAACTTATAACTTTCATGATGAACAATCCTTGCCCTTTTTAGTTTATGGTGATTTAATTCAATTTCGTGTTCTATAATGATTTATACTAAAATATTTTGTTTATAATATCATGTGGTTTTTATGTACATAATAAATTAACCTTCATTATTAAATCCTTATAGTTTTTTGAAATTTACTCAATATTTACCACATTTTAGTTATTAGCACTATTATATTCTTTCAGATTTTTAACTCATAACATATTTTTGCATAGGTACCTCTTTGCATTTTATTTTATTACATTGTATTTAAATAAGTATTAATATTATACCCGTATTCAACTGTAATATATATTTATAAAATAGTTATCAATCAATAAATAAACTAGCTCAAGAATATTCAAAATAAAGATTGGTCCTATGTTTTATATTCTGGTTTATGTATCTACAGCAATATTAATTTAAAGTTACTTATATCTTATGTGCAGTAATAATTTTGGGATTGAAAATAACGTGAGACATGAGTAGAGGTCGGATTTATATTCTTTTAAAATCCTTAAAATATGATGTTTGTATGTCACATAAAATAAGCAATAT